TGGAAGGAGATAAAGCTAAGAGGAGCTAAAGGGGCAGACTTATACATGCCTTGAAACATGACTTGTCATTTGTTCAGAAAGGGACTGGGAGCTGGTAAAGGGTGTGAAGAGAAGCTGGCACAGTTGGTGCAGTTGGTAAATTGTGCCGTAATATTCTGGCTTGATTTAAAAGGAGCACAGTAAAGATTGGCGAAGTGAGGAAGGAGGAGAGTGCAGTCACCAGGCTGAGAAAATACAGCTCTCAGTGTTTTGCAGCTGTAGCAAAGTAGGATGGACTGATTGGGAAGATCTAGCAGATCTTGATGGTAAGGCCTTATCACCAGCTGTTTACATGTTAGTGCAGCTGTCAGATGTGGTGAGTTTCTCATTTCGGCTAAATGCTTACAGAGGCTGAAGACAGGTTTTTTTGCTGTGGGTACACTTAGTTCATTCATTAGTCATCTCTCATTTCGATTACTGTAATGGCTTCTGGCTAGACATTGTCCTTCTTCTGCTCTTCACTTACAATCTATTCAAAAATCTGCCACATACATAATATCTTGTCATCTTTTCTGTTCACTTAGTTTTCCTGCCAGATCCCCTTAAATCCAACTTTAAAGGACGTTCTCAAGATGAAAACAAATCCACACTTTGAGTTCCTAGTTAAAAGGAGTGCTTGTTTGTGCTATCTTGTAGCTATTTCCTAAAAAGTATTTTAAAAGCCCATCGCTGGCGTGGTGTGACAGGGACCTTGGAGTTCTGCAGGACGGAGTACGTGGCAGTGAATGACCATAGTAATTAAAAAACTTCTGGTCCCAGTGTGTGGGGTCCTTGAGTCAGCTGCCCTGGCTGCCACGAGGAGAAGAGATTGAAGATTTCCTGCTGGAGGAGAGGGAGCAGTGCTCGCATGTTCATTGCATCTTCTCCTACCTTGAAGAGGGGAAGAGAGCAAGTTGCTGCTAGTGCCTCGGAGGGAAGAAGAGAGTAATCTTCCTTCAATTTATAGTGAGTGTGCAAAGTAGCTCTGGAAGAAAGTGATAAAATGACAGCTTGTGGTCTAAAGAGCAGCTGGTGGCCTTCCCTCTTCCCGTGCTTTTATTTCTGGGAGGAGAGGGCTCAGAAGGGGAGGCAGAGAGAGAGGGTTGTGCTGTGTTACTGGCCGGGGAGAGAAGCTGGCTGTCTCAGGTTCAGAAGTGATCTGACAGTTGTGGACCATCGGTGTTAGGTTGTTATGAGAGTGAAGGAAAATGGCTATTAGAAGGAAGAGAAGGATTTTCAGTTTATAAAGGAGAAGTGGATTGGATTAACAGGTGATTGGGATCACCTTGGAATCCAGTGATGGATTTCTTGCCATCTGTGGTGTTTGCATGTGTTAGTGTCCTTTACTTAAACAAAAGTTACTCGTATCCTGAAGGATGACAAGAGAAGGGAAGGTCTCTTCTAATAGGAAGGAGACAAGCTTACTTGATTAGGGATTTGCAAGTGGAGTGTGATTGCAAATTATTGGAGATAATGAATAAAAATTTACATGTTAATATCAAAATTAATAACATTATGAAGTACAGTAAGTGAGAGAGAAAAGATTTTTTGAGAGTTATGAACCAAGAGCCCTGAGAGCCTTTCCCAGCAGCTTACTGTGTGGCAGTAGAAGAACTGGGCTGGGTGTGACTGGTACAAGCAACGAGAACTCACAGTTCCATGTAGGTTGGTGAAACAGGTAAATGCTCCGTGTCTCAGCAAATCAGGCCTCAGGCTGTGGCTCCACAACTTGCCAGGCTCCAGCAATCCACACAAGACTGGGATTTTGACCTCTGTCAAAAAACATAATTACTTTCCAAAACAGTTCCAGAGCCTTGGGGAGAGTGATTCTGCAGTGATTGTGGAAATACAAACATTTTCTCTATTGTCTAATATTTGGTCCCAACTACAAAATAACTTGTTAGCTTTACAATATATTCCCGAGGCCTCATCTGTATGTCAAAATGGTTATGAATGGGAAATAATGTTATAATTCTACTATTCCTTGCTAGTAGGATGGCCAGGGAATGTGGTTAAAATGCTTTGAAATTTGAGAATATTTTTCAAAACATTTAAAATTGTTTATGCATATCTGTGGAGAGGAGCCAAATTTGAGCTGATTGGAGCCGTACCATGGCAACTGTTCTGCTTGGTGTCCCTGTCCAGTCACAGACCTGTGCTCCTAGAGGGAGCACCCTCTCTTGAAGGCAGTATGGAATGTATCTTGTAGGGCATGGGAAGCCTCAGCAGTAGTCCCATCTGGATTTTATCTTTTCTGTACCCACTTTCTAGTCTCTCTTTTCCGTTTCTTCTCTGAGGGCAAGGACTTAGAGATAGCTGCAAGGCGCTGGGGAGGTGGGACAAGGAGCCCCAGGTGGGAGCTGCAAGCTTAGGGGAGAAAGGTTGGTTTGTCTAGAGCCTGGAGGACAAGCAGAATTTGGAGGGAGAACAGAAAATAAAGCTCATTACACTTGTGGGGAGGGATGGGATGATGCAATACAAAGTTTGGGCCAAGGCAGGGTATGAAGGGCCTTGTACATGTGTGTGTGTGGGACAGCTGAGAAAACACAGGAGGGGACCCCAAACAGCTGTAGAAGAAAAAAGGGAGAGACCTGAATAACAGTACATGAGAAGGGCTGAACTTGGGCATGGCTTGGCCAGGAATGGGGGCGTGTGTGTTATGTTGTTATTATTAAACTGGACCACAGAGAATGACCAGGAAGGAAAATGTCCTTTATCTCTTGGCTTCATGCAGGACTTACCGAGACACGGGAGATGTGAGCAGAAAACAGGAGGTTGGCAAGGCAGAGGGATCTGCCCATGTTAACATTTGTGCGTGCAAACGAGTAATAAACTTGGGGAAAGACTAATTGGATTTGAAAATTGATGTCAGTCTGAGGTTTTTGGAGAGTGATTAAGAATATGATTTTTTTTTTTTTTTTTGTAATCCAGTGGCTTCTGAGAAAATGAAGATGTTGCTATTAACCAGAAAGGCCCTTTGCTGCATGTCCCGTTTTGATTGCCATTGTTACATTAGTATCTACGTTTCTTCTGCTAAATTACTCTCTCATCTGCAGTTATCCCTGCCTCTCCTCCAGACCTCCTTTTTTTGCTTTTTTTTTCCTATCAAAAATCCTCATAAAATCCTTGGCTCCAGCAGCACACGATACTCCCCGGCCTTGTTCCAGCCAGGAAATTTAGGACTTGCTGTTTTCTGCCCATGGTGAAGTTCGCTTCCCCACCAGGAGTCTTTTCCCTAAAAGTTCATCTCAGTCCTTCAGTGTACCAGTCCCACTGCCACACGCAGTTTGCCGTGTTACAAATCCTGTTAGTTCTGGGGTTTACCAAAAAAGGGAGCGTGTCGTGGGTTTTTTACTAAGAGGCAAAGCTATAGGGGTTTTTTTGTTGCTTTCTCAAATACTGGATTATTCTCATTTGTGTAATTGACAGTGATGTGCTCAAGTTCTCTTTTTAGGAAGCGTATGTAGCTGGTTTACTCCTCTTCCTTTAAAATTTAGATGATATACTTTGGTTTAATTAGTTAATCACATAATCTTGTTTGTTTCTGTTAATGTTTCTTATGCTGTAGCACATGCTGGCTTCTTTCTAACTTGCAAAAAAAAAAAAAGCTCACCAATTCTTCACAGAATCACAGAATGATGTGGGGTTGGAAGGGACCTCTGGAGATCATCTAGTCCAACCCCCCTGCCAAAGCAGGTCCACCCAGAGCACCCGCCCTGTTCCAGGGCTCTGCCACCCTCAAAGTGAAGAAGTTCCTCCTCATGTTTAGATGGAACTTCTTATGTTCAAGTTTGTGCCCATTTCCTCTTATCCTGTCCTTGTCCTCTTAATCTGTAACCTCCTTGAGCTACTCATTTGTCTATCAGTAGAAGCATTAGAATAATAAACAAACACATCTGGGATGATCTTCCAGGTAATGAATATTTGTTTAGCTCACAGCAAAAATGGGTCTGAATCAGGGAGCTTTGCAGTGTAACTGCTAGGCCAAAATCCTGTGCTTTCTCCTGTCAGCGGGTGAGGTAATCCTGGAGGTATTTGTCTGCCATCTCATCTCAAAGGCTGCTCAGAGTCTACATCCTGGAGGTGTCTCCCATCTCATCTCAAAGGCTGCTCAGAGTCTATTCCTGGGAAAGGTTAGCTTGATAGTGACGCTGATTTCAGATTCACCTTAAGGCATGTCTGGGGTTTTCCTCCAGCCCAAACTCAGGGCCAGAGGGGTCCTTAAGGACAGGGTGAAAAGCCAGCGCCGTGCAGTGCAGTCTGTGGTGGCTTCTCGGCAGGTTCTGAGGAAGGAGGTGTGACAGGACTCCTCGAGGCGAGCCCCGTGTTGAACACGGTGTATTCCCTCCTGGGTCTGGCAGTGAGCTATTCCTGTGCAGTCTCTCTGTGATGAAGAACCTATAAATTAAGGACCATTGAGCAGCCAAGCGTGCAGACTGCTGGTGTAACTATCCATACGTTCATAGCTGGTGCAGCAAACTCTCCTCCTAACAAGAGAGGGCAGACATTACTTTCTGCTTGCCCTGCTCGAGTCACCTCTGTGTTATCTGGATGACACCTGTGCTAGCTTACTGTCACCCGACTCCATTCCTGGACAGGCCCAGGGACAACAAACACACTTATCAGCTGACATCAGCCAGACCTACACTGACATCATCCAAACACTGGAAAAGCCACAGACCCGAGCTGCCTCGGTGCCTCCTTCGGTTCTCAGGTGTGCTCTGAACAGAAACACAGCCAAAAAAGCTGCAGTAGAGGGGCAACAGGCCACTGGCCAGGCCATCCGCTTTCTTCTCCGAGAAGGGGAAGGTGGAAGCACTTAACTTGCTGCTTCCCTGTAATTAATTGAGTAACTGGTTTTATCCTTTGCTTGATTTGACTGTGAAGTGCATTGATAGCTGGCTTGTGCCTCCTGCAGTAACAAACAGCCCTGTAACACGCAGGGCATCACTAACGTCAGCATGTTTTGTCTTTCTTCACAGGTAACTGTGCTGGTCCTTTTTGCCCTTGCGTTCCTAACGTGTGTTGTATTTCTGGTAGTCTACAAGGTTTACAAGTATGATCACACCTGTCCAGAAGGATTCGTTTTCAAGGTAAATCGCATACACCTTCTAGAAAAATAGGAGAGTACGTAATATTCTCTGTGTTGTTTTCTGCATAACCTTGATTAAGTCATGCTGTACTGCATAGAAATTTGTGTTTGTTTTCATAGGTTAATGTGCTTCCTGCTATATTTCTGCTTAATTTATAATTGAGGTTGTACTGTTGCACAATTTCATAATGTTGTTAGTTTGCTAATGCTTTTAAACATTGAAAATACAGCCCAAAGTCCCAACATCAGTGTCCTTCAAACTGCCTTCACCTGCAGTTGTCTGGACAAAGCCTTCATTTATTGGGTCATATGGTTTAATGTTGCATGTCCCTCCGAATTCATGTGTCTTAGGGAAGAAGAGAATGATAAAACCTGGAGGAAAAAAAAAAAATTACTCTGGAATATGTGTCAAAGAAACAGTAGAGTGACGTTCTCATTAAGAGCAACAGAGTTACCTTAGGGTTATTTTTGGAGAAAGAACTTCTTGTTCTAGAACAGTGACCTGCCAGCCCTACTGCCACAGGCCAAAAGTGATGCCAAAAAAGGGAAAACACATTTATTGGAAAAAATACTGGTTCTAACCAGAAGGGAAGATGGGGCTCTCTTCGTTCGTGCGAGATGGCAGTGCTGGCTCCTCAGCTCTGACCCGGGCTGAAAGTCAGAGAGGTAACATTGATCTCTCAGCTGTAAATTTAGCAGGCTTGAACTTGGCCGTAGTTAGACAAGAAAAGTAGCGATGATAATGGCATTCTTCCCTCTAATTTTTTAAGAATATTTAGTCACGAATCTTCAGAAGGATTTAAGAAGGATTGGCTGCCTCAGCACTCCTTGATGATGCTTTTTGGGACTTTGGATCCTGTCTCTTCAGGTACATGAATATCTTACAAGGGTCTAGTCCACAGTTGCAGTGAGTGATGCCCAGCTGGATTAAGGGGGCTCCAAGCATTCAGTTTTAGGTCACTGCTGTCCCTGGGTTGAAGGAGAAAAGATGCTGTGGTTAAAATATTTGGCTGTAACTCAGGAGATCCAGCTTTTGGTTCTGCTGTTGGGTTTTGGTGTTGTCTCAGACAAGCACTGAGACCCCTTCATGCTCGTGTCTCACGGGCCTTTTTTTCCGAAGCTTTCTCTTGGCTTTGAGGAGTTTGAAATAAGGACTGGATGTTCCTACTGAGCCCCTCTTGATGTGATCCTGACTTGACAGGAGCGGCCGGTTACAGGCTCCTGCCATAAGCCCAGTAACAGCCTGCTGCTTCCTTTCGTACCATGTCCCTTCCCGTGCGTCGCAGCCTTCTGGCCTCTTTTGTCTCTTCTTCTTAGTGTCACAAACATTTAAGGGGAGGGCAGTTCCTTAGCTGTGTTTCAGTTGTGCTGTGAACAGAGTCTGGCTGGGTGTCTCTGCTGAGGGCCCTGTTTGCAGGAGAAGTTGGGCACACCACCCACAGCTCACGCTTTGCTTTTAAAGTGCAGCGTTACTGCTCCCCTCCCAGTGCTGGGGTTTGTGGAGGCTGTTTCCTACCTGCTTGGTGGCATCATGCCAGGAGACACAGCATCTTTGGTCACGTAACTCTTCACAGTTTGACAGGATAAACGTGTTAACAAATCACACGTGGCCTGAAACTATTGGTGTTGACATGAATTTGTATTTGCTGCCTTTGCATCCTTTTTGGGGAGAGTCCATCATACGTCGTGGCACGGCTTGGCATAGATGTCCTAAGAGAGATGAAGAAGTCTGTCACCTTGTGACCAATGTCTCTCTGGGCTGGCTTTGTGCTTCAGGTGGACTCAACAACATTCTCTGGCCAGGTGTTGGATGCTGATGAGATGTCCTGGCTCAGGGCAAAGGTGTCCCCTGCCTTAGGACACGCGGTACCTGGGGCTCTCTGCACAAAGGCTGAGCCACCGCAGCCGTGAGTCAGACTCGCTCTTCTCCGCGCTGACGCTCTCATGCATGGAGTAGTTCCAAAGGTTTCAGTGTTTTCAACCTTTCTTCTGTCCTACACGACCAGGGCTTGAAGGTGTGCTTCAAAAGGTGATTACGTTCCTTTTTATAGCAATCTTAAACTGCTCCAGCCTCAGCTTTGTGCTTGCTCGAGCTTTCTGACACGGCCCTAACGCTGCTGTTGTGTAGGTCACTCCTCTGACGCGCTCTGTGCTGGTGTTGATGAGACTCACCAGAATTTTCCTCAAAGACCTGAGTGCACTTACATCCTGGAGGAATTTCTCCAGGGCTTCATTGTGCTCCATACTGGTACCCTTCAGCTCTCCTTGCCACGGCACCAGCGTTCCGTCAGACTCAGGGACAGCACAACAAAGGAATTCCAATGCATTAAAGACAATGTCATCAGCTATTAAGTTTGGAATTCCTGACCCAGCAAACTGAACATGACAGAAGATACAAAATTTATAAGTGGATACTTCTGGGGTTTCTGTGTCCAAGGAACAAAAGGAGTCATCTTCATACAGCCAGACACAGACTGGCAACCAGGATTGAAGACCTTAACCCATAACTAGTTTCTGAAATGGAAGGGTTGTGAAAGAAACCACAGAGAGGCAACTCATTCTGGAGCATCCTTCTTCTCATGGTCTTCCTTATCACTCCTCTCAGCTGGGAACCACGGTAACAAACAAAAAGGATGGAGAGAGATGTTCTGTGTGAGTTGAAGGTCTCGGGTGGGCAGCAGGATGAGAATGGGCACCAGTTCCCATCCCTCAGTTGCTCCCAAGTGCTGCGTGGCTTGCCCTGACCCGGAGCTGAGCAATGGGGCTGTCCTTGGGCAGGAGACAGGGAGCAGAGTAAAATGGGAGGTTTTTTCCATCTTCTCTAGAAGCGTGAAATCCTGGGAGCAAAAATGCAGTCAAGGATGGAAACTCTGGTGTGTGTTTCTTCAGGCTCTTCTGTCAGATGTTGTGCATGTTTGTGACTATGGAAAATAACATCACTGAGTCATTTTGCCTGTTACAAAGCAAATTGCTTCTAAAAGCAACAAAAGATCCTGTGGCATTTGGTTAGACTGGCAGTAATCTTGGCTTGTCTTCAGCACTAATAATTATATTTGCTTGAATTTCCTTGGCAGATTTCATTAGATCAATGGATTGTGTTCCTTCCCTCATTTTAAATATTTAGAATTGTGACTATATCCCATGACTGGGTGAAATAATCACTGCAAAGATGTCTGTGTCTACGTACTTCTTAGGCATTTTAGCACATCGGAAGTAGCGTCAGTTACCCCAGATAAAGCACAGAAAACACTTCCAGAAGATGGCACGGTTGATGTAGGTGAACACACAGATAGCTGTATTCCACCGTTGTCCTAGATTATTTGGTTTTTTTAAATCTATTTTTTTGTAGCTGATGTCTAGATGGGGACCATGGGGAAACTTTGGTTACCTTTAATGGTGCTGAACAGGCACAAGCGTCTGCTTGGCCGGGGTGAAATCCCCTCTGCTCTCTGGTGCTGCTTCAGACAGAACTGTTGTTCAGTTGACAATTAAGGAATAAATGGGATCTTGGGTGGATGTGGCAGCTCCGAGCGCTGTCACGGGTGTGTCACACCTCCAGGCTTGTCACACAAGCAGGTCCCAGCCGCTGGGGTGGTGACTCCCTGGGAGAGATCTTCATCTTGTGACAGCGAGTTTTCTTTCCGTGCTCAGGTTTGGCACAAGGCTGTGTTCATCGGCAGCCACAGGGTCGTAAGGCTTCCCGTGGGTCTGTCCTCTTGCTTCTTCCTTTTATACCTTTTGATGCTTTTTTTCAGTCTAACATTTCTAGGATGCAAAATCATATTAAGCCAAGACTGTCTGGGATCTTTCCCCCAATCATTTTGTGCTTTATGATTTAAACCTGTTGTTACTGGTGCTTATTTATGCCTTCTCTTCCTCTTCATTTTTCTTCCTCTTCTCGTCAACCCAAAAGTAAAGATGGACACGTCCGAGATAGATAGATAGCATCTGGTCCTAAAAAATGTGGCATTTCCGTGTGTGTTCTTGTGCTCAGACATTCCCACTATGAAGTTTGGTTTGCCATGTTCGGTGGGAGCGGTGGCAGTTCCGAGTCACTGGCCTGCAGTGTTATGACTTTTAGTCGTCCAGTGCTGGAAGTGGGAAGACCGAATGGCCTATTTCTATTTAAAGCAGTCAAGAGTAGAAATGATGAAACTTATTTTTTCTCAAGCTGCAGCTACTCGTAGCTTATACTGCAGAGGATCAATTGAGTAGAGAGGTGGGGGTTGGTCTCTTCTCTCAAGTCACAGGCGACAGGACAAGAGGAAATGGCCTCAAGTTGCGCCAGGGGAGGTTCAGGCTGGATATTAGGAAAAATTTTTTCCTAATGGGCTGCCCAGGGAGGTGGTTGAGGCACCATCCCTGGAGGGGTTCAAAAGACGGGTTGATGAAGTGCTGGGAGGGATGGTTTAGTGATGATGCTCCTTGTTTGTTGTGTGGGTGTCTATTTTTGTCAGTTAGGTTGACGGTTGGACAAGATGATCTTTAAGGTCCCTTCCAACCTAGAAGATTCTGTGATTCTGTGATTCTGAGTTGCCCAGATGAGTCCCTCAGCGCAGGGACTGGCTGATACGGCAGGGGACCTGTGGGGAGACCCATCACCTTCTGGAGCAGGACTCAGGGCTGACACAAACATCTCACTCGTTTTTTCCTTCAGCACAACTCGCTGCTTTGTGTCCAGGTGATGCTTCTCCTGCACCATCCCTGGGGCGGTTGCTGGGTGGTACCCGCTCACTAACGCACATTCGCTTGGGTTTTTTTTTAAGATGAGAGCAAAGTTTGGATCCTACTTAGTATTTAACTCGCTAAACCCAGGTAATTTCTCTTTCCAAAGCTCTGAGCATCGAGCGGTTTCTGTGCAGTGCTCTTACGCTGCTGGGAAATTAAATAATGTAGTCCCAGAGCTAAAGATAGCTTTTTAAAAGCTTGCTGTTGGCTACATCTTTCTGACAATGAAGAGTGAAGTATTTTGTGTGTGTGTGTACACACGCTTCTACATAAGCTTGGCCACCCACAGTGTTTTCCCTGTAAGTCTTATTTACTGGGCTGTAAAACTGCTTGTACCTTGGCACCGGTGCGTCTGTATCTGGTTCTGTCCCTCAGACCAAAAACATCCCATTAAAGCGCCTGGAGCCAACCTCAGGGTAGGACACAGACTGTAATGGCAGCCCAAACAGCTGGAACTAGGTGGGGAGGAAAAAAACCAGCCAAATATGGTTGCAACTAGAGATTGAGTACTTTTAGAAACAATTCTAGGCAAGCGTGTTTCTTGTATGTTAATGATTCTGGCGTATAAACCCAGATCGGTCTGTCCTGGCAAACGCGGGGGGAGCTGGAGGATGGTGGGGAGGAACATTTTGAACACAGTAGGACAACACTGTGGCTAATTGCTGCGTGTGGCATCTTGACTCAAGGAAAGCAAATGTTGGCTCTGACGAAAAGGAAAAGGAAAAAAAAAAACTAACCCGCTTTTGGTGTGCGTGGGGCCAAATCTGTGAGCTAAAATATGTTCAATATCTTTATTGATGATCTGGACAAGGGGATCGAATGCACCCTCAGTAAATTTGCAGATGACACCAAACTAGGTGGGAGTGTTGATCTGCTTGAGGGTCGGAAGGCTCTATAGAGGGATCTGGACAGACTGGATCAATGGGCCAAGGCCAATGGGATGAGGTTTAATAAGGCCAAGTGCCGGGTCCTGCATTTCGGTCACAACAACCCCATGCAGCGCTACAGGCTTGGGGAAGAGTGGCTGGAGAGCTGCCCGGAAGAAAAGGACCTGGGGGTGTTGGTAGACAGCAGGCTTAACATGATCCAGCAGTGTGCCCAGGTGGCCAAGAAGGCCAATGGTATCCTGGCCTGTATCAGGAATAGCGTGGCCAGCAGGAGTAGGGGAGTCATCGTGCCTCTGTACTGGGCACTGGTGAGGCCTCACCTCGAGTACTGTGTTCAGTTTTGGGCCCCTCACTACAGGAAAGACATTGAAGTGCTGGAGCGTGTCCAGAGGAGAGCCACCAAGCTGGTGAGGGGCCTGGAGAACAAGTCCTATGAGGAGAGGCTGAGGGAACTGGGCATGTTTAGTTTGGAGAAGAGGAGGCTGAGGGGAGACCTCATTGCCCTCTACAACTCCCTGAAAGGAGGGTGTAGAGAGGCAGGTGTTGGCCTCTTCTCCCAAAGGACGAACGACAAGACCAGAGGAAATGGTCTGAAGTTGCAGCAAGGGAGATTTAGATTAGATATTAGAAAGAACTACTTTCCTGAGAGGGTGGTCAGGCACTGGAACAGCCTGCCCAGGGAGGTGGTGGAGTCACCATCCCTGGAGGTATTTAAGAAACATATAGACATGGCTCTTCAGGGCATGCTCTAGTGCCCAAGGTTATTGGTTTATGGTGAGGTGTTGAGTGTGGGGTTTAGTTGGTGGGTGTGGTGTTTTTGGTGGGCGTTTGGTGTGGTGTGTTTTGTATTTGTTTGGTTGTGGGGTTTTTTTTGGTTTTTTTGGGTTTGTTTTTTTTTTTGTTTTGTTTTTGGGTTTTTTTGTGGTTGGACTCAATGATCTCAGAGGTCCCTTCCAACCACTAAGATTGTGTGAATCTGTGTAAAAGTGATGGATTTTTTTCTTTTCAGAATAACCAGTGCATCCCAGCCGGGTTGGAAAACTACTACTCGGAACAAGACTCCAGCGCTCGAGGGAAGTTCTACACAGTCATCAACCACTACAACCTGGCCAAGCAAACCATCACGCGCTCCGTGTCCCCCTGGATGACGGTGCTGTCAGAGGAGAAACTCTCTGAGCAGGAGACTGAGGCCGCTGAGAAATCAGCTTAGAACGATGAGAAGCTAATTATTAACACTATGTCATTTGAAGGTAACTAAGGGACTTTAAGGAACTTTTCGTTAAATATAATTATGGATAATTTAGAGGTTACTCATGTTTATGGTGCAATTGCTTCTGTTTGCTGATACTGCTTTGCAAAAAAAAAAAAAAAAACAAACAAAACCCAACAAAAACTTGCTGCAGAACATTCATGGGCATAAACCAAGGTGCATATCAGCATTGCTTTAGAGCTTTGACACCATTTTCAATGTTAAAAAAAAAAAAAATCCAATATTAGTTATGTTCTTGCAGTTTATTGGATACTGACAGATTTCTTCACTGGATTTTCAGGGCTTGGACCTTAGAGAAATCATGTGTTCTGTTGTCTGAACTGATACTTTATTTATGAATTTTTTTATCTATATCTGTCATTTTGCAAACTGAAACACCCCAGCCATAACTAGAGTGATCTCTTGTTTAGCTGAGAGCTCTACTTACTATTTAGTTTTGGCTCGAGCGCGAGCGATGGCGGGCATTGATGTCGAGGGCGTAACGTAACGACTTGTACGGAGAAAGAAACTGTCGGGTAGCATTTTTTCTTACCTTTTCTTTACTGTTGTTGATTTGTAAGTGCTAATGAAGTTCTCTGCAACAAGGCATGCTCAATGTTTTATTATTGCTGTCAACAGGATTTAACTGCATTTCCACTGTGGCTTTAGCATCTTGGTAAGGATGTGCACTGAAACACAAACTAGGTAGACGTTACGGAAAAAACCACAGAGAGTTTTAGTGATGGATGTTGAGGACGGTGTAAGAACTTCACAGTTCAAGATGTTCTAATGAGAAACAGCATCTTTTGATGATAGGTAAGAGGCAGAAAAAGCCTGTGCACAGTAGATGTAGTCCACGATGTAATTTGTTGGATACAGCTGAGGGAGTAATGTGTCTAAATTTTCTCTTTTATTACATGAACATTTTCCCTTTTTTATGAATTAGGAAGAGTTTTCCGTTTCTGTATGGTTTGCAGTTTGATACTTTTTAAAACACAGAGCATCACGAGTGAAACAGTAGCGTTTTAGATACCACAACTGGCTGTTTGAAAGCTCTGTGTGAAACTGAGTGAAGAGTAGAACTGTTTGTGTGTGGCTTGGGAGGGGAAAAGATGTAGAGGAACATAGTATTGTGGATGCACGTTAAAGTTCCATTGTAATTACAAACTTATCCCTTCTTTGTGTGAAACCATGTTTTCATTTTTATTATAAATCTTAAATATATATTACAAAAAAAGACATCTTATTAATTTAACAGTTAGGCGAAATAAGTGTGTGAAGCATCTGGGCAAGCAAGTCACCTTTTTTCTTCATGTAACTTGAATGGGACAAGGCGTAGTGGACATGTCAAAAGTTCCATTACTTTTTTTAGTGGAGATTCTAGAAAAATGAAGGGAAAACATGGAGATCTCTAATAGAACAAACATGGTCAGCTCTACCTTTATTTTTATTCTGGTAGAATTCTTTATCAACAGTACAGTAAAAATAAGCAGGTTTGATCCCAAATGTGCATTACTTGGTAATACCTATAAAAGGCTTTTTATTAAGTCATTCTGGTATATGGGATGCATAAAAAGCAATAAATTGTGTGCCAAATTTTAATTTGCATTTAAAAATTTCAAGCTTATATGAAGATATTGAAAACATACCATGTTTGCATTTTCTAAGAGGCGTATGCTTTATTGAATGTAATTAATTCCCAGTAACTTTTGACATTTTCACTCCGTGCAGAGTACAGAGCCAGGATGCTGCTGCTTGTTGCTTATAATGTATAGAAATACACATTTCAGAAGAGAGATAGCAAACCAGACAATTCATAGCAACATATTTCCAGAGGACATTCCGATTTTACAAGATGGAAAGATCTGTTCCCCGAGACTGTCCTACATAGAAATGATTCATGATACATCTCCCCTTCAATTTAGGACAATAAAAGCTTTAATGCACAAGTAAATACTGATGAGAAACAACTTATTTCTCTCTCTCATAGCAACAAACATTACAAACCACAAAGCTTTACCATCTAAGAGAAACACAGTGCTTATGATTCTTGAAGTCAAAACCATCTTTTCCTCTGATTTAACAGGAGGGAGTTTTACTGATTCTTATCTGCAGTTGGTTTTGAGACTCTTATTTTGCTCCCAGTTTTAGTGCTTTGACTATTTTGGCTTTAATATTGTCTTATCCTTTGGCTTTGTTCTGACATCTCAGAACACGTTTCGTTGCACGACCTGTTTGTGTTGTATTCTCTCTCTCACCTAGAAGGGAAGCTTTTGAGTTGACTTTTGATCATTAAACCAACCCGATCTCGGAGTCCAGTAGTTGCCAAGGCTGAGGAGGGGAGGTCCCAGCCGTGCAAAGCCGTGGCTGTGGACTGCAGTGCTGCCAGTACAGGAAAAGCCTGAGACCCCACCGATGCTTTTGCCCAGTAACAGTTTCCTCTTGGTGTGCCCGGTCCCTGGGAGCTGGACTGGAAACCCGGCAGTGGGGGGGGGACTAGGATAAAACTGTTATCAGGTTGGGGTTTTTTTTCCTCCCATTAGCTCTGCTCCAGCTCGGGGCTCCTCTTTCAAAGGCTCCTGTGTTCTTTGCAGAATTAAGGGGGGGTTTATGTTTGATAAAGGGATGTAAAATGAATGCTGTCGGCCCCCTCTGTACCAAGGGCTGCAGACACCTGTATTTATTGGAAAATGCTTCCAGCGCAGCGGTACAACACACAGTTGCCATATACCCTGCTCCATAGAAACAGATGTCAAAAGATCTACAAACCAAGCATGTAGGCGAGATTAGACTTTTAATTAATTATCATACCAGTCCAGGAAAAGCAAGGAGAATGAACACATGACCAGGAAGAATAAGATCCATACTCTAAATCCAGCGTTGTTTTTGATGGCCTGTGAAGAAAAGATTATCTCTGTTACCATCAGCAGTGAACATAGACCAGAATTTCCAACCATGACAACCCAGGATCAACGAGCAGCTTCACGCTTCCCTCCCACAGGAGAAAGAACAAAACCTGCCATTAATCTCAGGTGAGTGAGAGTCAGGTTGGCTGTACCTCGTGAGGCTGATAACACTAAAGTTTCTCTCAAAAATCTTAAAATTGGGCATTTAAAAAAAAAAGCTCAAGATCCCACATAATGGAAATAAACCATTAAGAAATAAGTCAGGACATACATGCTCAAAGGTTAGTTTCAAGTTCCAAAAGTGAAATTCTGTGATTAGAAATAATTGGGCCTTCATCATTCTAATAAACATCTTCTGACTAAAAATAACCAGCCGAGACCTGAGAGCTGGAGGTGGGTTTAGCGCTCCCAGTCACGTATTTCAGTCTTGGAGCAAGGAGCCAGCACAGCAAGGATTTGTCTTGGATTCTCCTTCACAAATTGAGATTGGTGTATGGCAGGGCATCTGCTTTTCTCTCTCATTTTTCAGATACACACATGGGATAGATTTTTTTTTTTTAATTATTATTAATGTGGTACCAACATTAAGGTGAGTGATGCAGTTTTGTATTTATCACCTTTCTCTACTGTCTCTCAGTGTTAAGAAACAGTTCTACCTACAAATGTAAAAAAGGAAGCAAAAATGACTTTATCTGTGCCCTGTTGTTGAATACTGATCCCTAACCATGAGCACAGGGGTGATCAGCTGACACCTCTGTACCCTCCAAGCATCCTGGCTGAAGCGCTCAGGAATCATGATTTAAAGGCACATAATTTAAATCTCTGCACTAGACTTAAGTCTTTAAAAAGCCAAACATCTTCCCTCCCTGTGCCTATCGGACAGTTATCAAAAAGAACACTCCAGATATTTTAATCTGCTTGAAAAGTGGGGAATTAAGTTCCGTATCAGAAATTTTCAGTCCCTCAGTTACCCTTGTTCATGTACGTTTGATGCGCTTCTCAGGAGAGCTGAGCAGTAGATACAGCTCATACTGAGTTATACATTCTGTGCTTTCAGGAGGGAGGAAAAAAAAAGGAACTGAGCTTTTTTATTCTAATTCAGGAACTCTGGTTTTATTGCAGTCTCAGTTCCTGAAAGGAAACATCATTTCATTCTAATTAGGAAGACAATGGCATAGACTTGTTTACTAGGAGCACGTAAGATGCCTTCAGAGGCTGTTCTGCTAACACTGAGCTTTTTAACTCCAGTTTCAAGGACTTCAGCGCTGCCTTTCTGGCTGCAATTTCTTTTTTGTTTTTTTTTTTTTAACCACGCCACAGGTGCTTTAATGCACCTTCCTGTTTAAAATATAGGTGAGGCCAAGCAGGTTTCTGCAGAGCTGTACAGCTGTTCAAGTCATGGTGAGCCAGAGAAGCAACGCCAGGAACCTCAGCCAACCTGTACAGTTTCTCCAACGTCACGTCCTACAGCCCAGCACACACACGTACCTCTCGTATGTCTTCGTTCCCTTCTTTGATGTTCTCTGTTGCACCCACAACGAGTTGATGGATATTGTCGATATCAGTTTCCTGTTCAAAAAAATAAAATGGAGAAACAGTGATGAGTTTCAGGAAACACACACTTCTAAGGACTTGGGGGAACAAGCAGAACTCAAGAATAAAATAAAATCTGGTATTAATGTCTTAGTTTCAATGATGCAAAAGGTGTAGAAGCAATTAAGTTGTGATTTCTCTACCTGTGATTTTATGAGCCTGAATGGAGACCACCAAGAGCAACAGGAAGTCCCCCATTTATCTAGATTCAAATCTAACCTGTCGTAATTTTTGCCAGCTCTTTTGGAAGAGGTGCCACCCTTTAAGAAAAGATGCTGACAAATAACATTCAACAGGACACTAATTCTGAGGCAGAGGGATCACTAACACATCTGATTTTCTGGTCCCAGTACATACTGATAAATAACAGTAAATGTCTCCATTTTGCATTTGAAAAACAAACAGAAATCTTCTCCTTCACATTTGCGTCAAAGATTCACTGATCTTATGTTTACATCTTGCATCCAAAACAGCCCCAAGAAAACCCCGGAGCTGTACGTGCTGATACTGACCTGCTGCAGGACTTTCTCACACTTGCTGCTGTGGCATGAGCTGATACTGACCTGCTGCAGGACTTTCTCAGTGAATATCTCTTGCAATCTGGAGATTTCCACCACTTTTCCTTCGATTTGTCTTGGCAAAGAAAAATACAAAGAAATACTCCATTAGAAACTAGTGCCAACATTTCCTGCTCCTGCAGATTCAGACCCTCCAGGCCGGTAGCGGGCTCTTCAGAGGGCACGGCTCTTTGGTAGCCATGGGTTCTGCAGCAGTAGCCCGCGACCCTCCAGGCCGTGGGCTCTTCAGAGGGCAGGGCTCTCTGGTAGCCATGGGTTCTGCAGCAGTAGCCCGTGACTAGTGCTGGGACAATCCATGTTGGACATAGACCAGCCCCCATGAAGCTCCAGGAAAGGCACCACCCAGGAACTGGCAGATGGGGGCCTTCCCTGGAGAGCTTCACCCACCTTACTTCTTCCATCTAACAAACGGAGTCCGTGGTGGACCCCAAGTAGTTAATTTTGACATATCCTTTTAATACCCGCAAACAAAGTGTGGAATTCCCCTTGCCCAGTGCTGATAAGCCAAGGAACATCTCCAGCTGGGGTTGGGCACTCGGGTGTTCCACACAGCAAGGGCTGTGCGTGGTCTCCGTGTGGGGTGGATGGTGGCACCTCCTCTCCGGCTCCCTCTCAGCAGCAGGACAGCGGGCCATGAATGGAAAACTTCATCTTTTAGAACTTACCTAAGCGAGACAGAACCTAAACCTTCCAAATTTAACCAGTAGTATTTTGGATAGTCCATGTGCCGCTCGGGACCCTCCCTTACACCACGGGACAGCACAACATGTAGGCTCCTACAGCTCCTTTCCTGGGTGCTCCTCTTTGGTCCCCCTCCCACCACCGCAGCGCTACAGCTCCCACGGCCGGGTGTCCCACAGCAAATTCCCTGGCAGTGGGTGTTCTCCGGGCTCTGCCCACACAGTATCCATCAAATAACAGAAAACCGTACCTGACTTCATCGAAGAGGTTATTCATTTCACCAACAAGTCTCTGGTTCTCCTGTTCAAACTGGAAGAAGGAAACAGCACACATGAGTTCACCTGCTCGGCCTCGGGGAACCTTCTTCACCCCCCACCCCTGACCAACCAACTTCCACCCTTCCTTGCTATCTATTTACCACAGCTAAAAAGACCTTAAAAATTATTAATAGTGGCCTAAATGAACACTATGAATCTGCCTGTGTGTAGCCAGTCACTGCAACACTTGTCGTTCTCCTCCCATTAATGAAACGAACCCCAAAATAGAGGAAAAACAGAGAGGATGAAATCTGTTCCTTTTGTGTTATTTTAGAAATTTGGGTGGGGAAAGCTTTCATGCTTGTGAAAGCGTGTGATGCTCGTCCTGCTACCCCTGCGCTGTCATTCCCGTTGCTCCTCTGCTGCCCATGGCATGAAGTGAAAAGCTTCTAGATTTTGCTACAAAATGAAGTATTTTAACATCTAGTACTTGATACTGACAGAGGCACTGGCTTTAGTTATCCCAGTGACCTCTCCCATGTAAAACTCACGAGTCATCAATGAAACAGTTAAATACACTTTTAGCACCACGTTTTTCAAAATCAGGCTTCGGTGACAGGAAATCTGTGCAGCCACGAGGCAGCTGAGGAAGGTGTCCCGTGGCCTCGTGGAGTTTGTTGGAAACCACATCGTAAGGACTGTGTTTCAGAAAGGGCCTGTGAGGACACACCGAGCTGGGCTTTCCAAGGTGCCCCAGTGAGTCCCCCTGCACCAGTACGACACACATGAGTTCACCTGCTTGGCCTCAGGGAGCCTTCTTCACCCCCCACCAACCAACTTCCACCCTTCCTTGCAATCCATTTACCACAGCTAAAAAGACCTTAAAAATTATGAATACTGGCCTAAATGAACACTATGAATCTGCCTGTGTGTAGCCAGTCACTGCAACACTTGTCATTCTCCTCCCATTAATGAAACAAACCCCAAAATATCTTGAAGATCTTGCTCAAGTTACTTTGCAGAGAGGAAAAACAGAGAGGATGAAATCTGTTCCTTTTGTGTTATTTTAGAAATTTGGGTGGGGAAAGCTTTCGTGCTTGTGAAAGGGTGTGATGCTCTTCCTGCTACCCTTGCACTGTCGTTCATGTTATTCCTCTGCTGCCCATGGCATGAAGTGAAACACTTTTAGATTTTGCTACAAAATGAAATATTGTGACATCTACTACTTGATACTGACAGAGGCACTGGCTTTAGTTACCCCAGTGACCTCTCCCATGTAAAACTCACGAGTCATCAATTAAACAGTTAAATACACTTTTAGCACCACGTTTTTCAAAATCAGGCTTCGGTGACAGGAAATCTGTGCAGCCACGAGGCAGCTGAGGAAGGTGTCCCGTGGCCTCGTGGAGTTTGTTGGAAACCACATCGTAAGGACTGTGTTTCAGAAAGGGCCTGTGAGGACACACCGAGCTGGGCTTTCCAAGGTGCCCCAGTGAGTCCCCCTGCACCAGTACAGGCTGGGAGTTATCCCAGTGACCTCTCCCATGTAAAACTCACGAGTCATCAATTAAACAGTTAAATACACTTTTAGCACTACGTTTTTCAAAATCAGGCTTCGGTGACACGAAATCAGTGCAGCCACAGGCAGCTGAGGAAGGTGTCCCGTGGCCTCGTGGAGTTTGTTGGAAACCACATCGTAAGGACTGTGTTTCAGAAAGGGCCTGTGAGGACACACCGAGCTGGGCTTTCCAAGGTGCCCCAGTGAGTCCCCCTGCACCAGTACAGGCTGGGGGCTGGCCTGCTGGAGAGAAAAAGACCTGGGAGTTCTGGTGGACTGCAGGATGGCCATGAGCCAGCAATGTGCCCTTGTGGCCAAGAAGGCCAATGGCATCCTGGGGTGCATCAAGAAGATGGTGGCCACCAGGCTGAGGGAGGTCATCCTGCCCCTCTGCCCTGGGGAGGGCCCATCTGCAGCACTGTGTCCAGTTCTGGGCTCCCCAGTTCAAGAAGGACAGGAACTGCTGGAGAGGGGACAGCAGAGGGCTACAAAGGTGATGAGGGGCCTGAGCATCTCCCTTACGAGGAGAGGTGAGGGACTTTTTAGTCTGGAGAAGAGAAGACTGAGGGGAGATCTTATAAACACCTATCAATACTTGAAGGGTGGGTGTCAGGAGGATGGGGCCACTCTTTTTTCAATGCTTTTAAAAAACAAATTTCTTTGTGTACTAGAGGCTCACTGTCTACCTGACCGGCAAGAACAGCTTTCCCTCCTTGGTTAAAGGACTCCAGAGAGTCCAAGGCCACAGCCGAGGAGCAGGGCTCTCGGGCACCATCACCTTCACTGTGGGGTAGAGGCCCCAGGGAAGGAACCCAGCCCTGTGGGTCGAGGGGGACAGTGAGGAACACTCTGCCCAGCTCCCTGAAGTCCCACTGATTTCCACCCTAAAGATCCAACGGTTTTGTTAAATTAAAAATTATCAGTGTTGCAACACATTCAAATGTCATTGTCACCGCTGCCTGTAGTGTCTCCTGCAGAGCATTTAGCATGTGATATTTACTTCACGGCAGCCATGGTTAAAGGTGCTCCATCCCTGTGCTCCTCCTCCCTGGCCCCACAGCCCATCTCTGGCTCCGGTGGAGTCGCCTCAGAACAAAGTCAAGGAACGGAGCAACCAGAGTCACGAGATTTAGCAACGAGTCACTGGTTGGTCCTTAAGTGACTAAATGGGGCCAGCAACCTCTAATTGGTTTTTTTGCCTTCCATAAGGATAAGTATTTCAGCGCAAATAGTCAGTATCAAAAACTCCCTCTTTTGCAGCCTTAGTAGAACGGAGATGATAACTAATTTACAACACAATTTTTTCAATAAAGAAAGAGCAAACGATTCTAATCCCTTTACAAATAGCACAAACCCACTTGAGAAAGCACTCCTTAAGAAGCCCCTTTGGTACTCAAAGCCCTCCCCTGGTAGGGATGGCCTTGTCAACTGCTACACGATGGCTGCAATTGGGGATGGCGGCTGAGGGAGCGCCCGGCGCAGACGGTGAGGTATGCAGGAACAGGCACCTGAACAAGAGGTTGGAGCACAGAACACATCGTATCCCAGTGTCTCACAGAGGGATTTACAGGATGGGAACGTAAACCCAACTCCAGCAATTGGCAGAGCTCAATGATTTATGGCTTATTAAAAGCAGCCTCTTTTACGCCAGTGAAATACTCTGTTATCAAAGCGTGGCATCAAGCGACAAACTGCCTAAGACACCTCTCAAAATCTAATGCACAGAAGAAATAATCACAGTTCCTTTTTGTTACCCATGAGGTAAGTCATTATATGTGCTCTACCTGAATTTAAGACAAAACCAACCGAGCAAAAAAAAGATTAAGTCAAAAAAAAATTAGATATTTTCACAAGTCAAACAGCAGAGCCAGATTTTTTTCCCCCACTCGATGCCACCGCAAGACATCTGCTCACAATAACTATAAAAGCCATTAATGTACCTGTACTTGGGGTTATAAACTGAAATTTATTGTGCAAATCATACAATAGCCTGCAACCACGCTGAGCAATGTAAAGCTCTCTCCTGTGGGTGAAGTACAGACCAAAATTGCTGCTGTAGCAATACGATAGGGCTCTAATTCATTATTTTACCCACAGGAAGGATCAAGGAACGGTGACTGAGAATGGCTAAGGATGATTTGACACAACACGCTCCAATTTCAAACCAGCACAGCAGCTTCTGCACAGCAACCTCCCCTCTCCCGAGAACCCCGGGACTGTCTCCATAACTTAAACGTGGTTGGTCCACGCTTCACAAATCACGTGTTCAAAAAGTAGAAATTAAACTTCACCATAACAGCAAACCTAACGCAGAGGAGAAATAATTAGCTGTCCTTTGAGTGAATGCATTAACTGAAGCTGTGAGGGTTTGTTACCCGTTTGTGATCCCTGCACTCAAAGCACACTGACGGCGTTAAATAGTGCCAAGTGCGCGCGAAGGATTTATGTGAGCAATGAGAAAAGCACTGCACATCCAAATACTCAAATAATTTCTAATTTACACCAATATTTACACCTTGCACCCAAACGTAGCTGAAAATTAGAATAACAGATCCAGTGATGTTAAAGCCTTATTAGGAGTGAAATTATAGTGTCCAACTTTTACCAATAAAGGCCAACTCTTTGCTATAAGTTTCCTCAAAAACGCACTGAAAGAGCAGTTTTGCTGTGGAACAGTCCCCACACACATCCCCAGACTTTGTATATTACCTAATTTTAGTGTTCATTGAAAAAAAAACAAACAAACAAAAACCACAACCCAAAAAAATCCCATTAGGTCCAGAGAACTGAGCACCAGCATCTTAGTGGCAAGGTTTACATGTGACACCTGCTGTGCACGTGTAGGTGTCACACAAACATACAACTCCCTGTGTACAGTTTGACATCTCCAATAACATGCAATCCAAGGGGAAAAAAATCACCTGACAAGAAATGAGCCTCACTGGGGGGCATGAGCTCTCACTGGAAAGAATGGGCTCGCTTTCTACGTGGCAACAGGCAGGGTAGCTGAAAATTAGAATAACTTATACAGTGTCCAACTTTCACCAATAAAGGCCAACTCTTTGCTATAAGTTCGTAGCTGAAAATTAGAATAACAGATCCAGTGATGTTAAAGCCTTATTAGGAGTGAAATTATAGTGTCCAACTTTTACCAATAAAGGCCAACTCTTTGCTATAAGTTTCCTCAAAAACACACTGAAAGAGCAGTTTTGCTGTGGAACAGTCCCCACACACATCCCCAGCCTTTGTAAATTACCTAATTTTAGTGTTCATTTAAACAAAACAAAAACCACAACCCAAAAAAATCCCATACTTTGTATATTACCTAATTTTAGTGTTCATTGAAAAAAAAACAAACAAACAAAAACCACAACCCAAAAAAATCCCATTAGGGATTAGAGAACTGAGCACCACCATCTTAGTGGCAAGGTTTACATGTGACACCTGCTGTGCACGTGTAGGTGTCACACAAACATACAACTCCCTGTGTACAGTTTGACATCTCCAATAACATGCAATCCAAGGGGAAAAAAATCACCTGACAAGAAATGAGCCTCACTGGGGGGCATGAGCTCTCACTGGAAAGAATGGGCTCGCTTTCTACGTGGCAACAGGCAGAGAAAGAAAAAATACTAACACTGCCATGAACGCTGACTCACTTCTCTTAAATCATAATAAATGCAGGCTCCTTCCGAGGGGTAACGTGGAAGGAAGTGATGCCTTTTGGTTCCCAGGAGAGGCAGAAACAGCCCCAAGAGCTGGTGGTGACACCGTCACCCCGCAGTGAGGGACAGCAGGAGGGAAGGGCTCCCGGGGGGACAGAACCACAGCAGGACCCAACAGGAGACTCGGACACCCAGCTCAGAGCCTGCCTTTGCAAAACTCAGAGTCAATTATCAGCAGAGAGGAGGCTGTTCTGGTGGCAACCTCCCTTTGTGTGCTTTTGTCAGTTCTAGTTTCTACTACCAGTACTAAACCACAAGTGCTAAGAGTATATCAAAATAAATTTAAAATCCAAATTCCCGCATAGAAATTTAAGAATAAGGCACAAGAGCAGTAATAATATTTCAGTGTATTAATATACACAGGGCTTCAAATATGCTATTTATATTTTGGTAGCATTTTGATCCGCTTCTCTAAATCTAGTAAATTTGTTGCTCTTTTCCCACGGAGCAGACTGATAAAGCTGAAATCTAAAGTTTCCAGCACAAGTCATTTTTCAAGACTTAATCATGGCATCAAGACATCTTTATATACTATAAATTTTCTGGCAAGCTATAGGCAGAACTGTGTAAGCTAGGAATAAGGACGTATTATAGTCTGTCTGAGCTAAAAGTTTATTTAATTTTGAGCAACAGTGTTATTTTTATACCCCTTTCCACAGGAAGCGCAACTCCTGAAAGCACAGCAGAAGTAAATCAGTGTAAAACAACAGCTAAAAATCTAAAAAGATATATAATGATAAAAAAAAAGCAGCATAGCAAAGGAGAGCTCTGAATGGGTAAAGAATAATAATGGATTTTTAAAAAATGTCTGTTGTTTCTCCCCAAGGAAGAGCTGTCTGAACGCCTGGTAAGAAGCAGTTCAGGACTGGAGATTTAGGAGTCTGGAAATCCTTCAAAGCGTTACACTACCAACACAGATTTTTCTCTTACTTATGCCCCCTCACGAGTCAATAAAGAGAACTTATTGCAGGGAAAAATTCAAATCCTCAGTGGGCAAAAATGAGCGTTTTAAGATGTTTATCTTTCTTCACTCTTGATAACAGAAAGAGAGAAAAACTCACAGACTTCAGCACCTCATCTAAATCGTGAGGTATCTGGGGCCTTAGTCTAAAGTATAAAAGGATTTAATGAAAAATAAATGTATTTATTCCCGAAGTACCATGGCAAAGGGATGTTACACGTTTAAATCTTAATTACAGGGTGAGGCCTGCAGAAAGCAATCCAAGATTCAGTAGCCAGTTACTGGTAAACGCCATCAGAGCATCCTCTCTGATGCTCGTTTCCTCCTGATGCTCTGGAAGCCTCCAGCAAGGGGGCTAATAATACTGTGCCTACACAGGGAAGAATGAAAATATGTAAAGAATTCTCTTTAAAGAGAAAAGAGAAAGCAGGAGTCAGCCTTGAGATTTCAGACTGGCACTCAAGAACAGTATGAAAGCATCGAGAGCAGCGTCTGAAGAACCTTTTCTCTTTGACAAACCTTCCCATAATTTTGTGCAACTTACTCATCTCTGACGGGCAGAGTGATGCACATTGTGCTGGGAACATCCCTAATCGCTGCCAAGGAAGCTTCATGTATCCGTTCTGCAGCAGCCCTTCGCCTTAGCAAACCTCACCATTTTGAAAAACTGCACATCTGCTGCCAGTCATAAAGCAGTTTTTCTGTCTTTACAGAAAAGGCGGCAACGCGTGATAGCGTAGAGAAGTTTTCTAAGAATTTTGAGCCACGTTCAAAGCAGCAAATTTTAGGAATATCAAAAAGCCTAGCAGACAGGTTGTCAGCAAGCATCTCTGTGTCAGAAATCTGTAGTGTATCAGTTCAGCTGAAGGAGAGTTGGATCAAATAATATATAAATGCACCCATAATGGGGAAATGCAGAAAAGGTAAAATTAATGAGATTCTGTTGTTGAAAGCTGTAGCTATTCCTTCTAGTAAACTGATCTGATTTTGATAATCCAAATAAATAAAAAAAAAGAAAAAAAATTAAGTATAACTTCATAGTTATATTTAAGTAGTATAACTACCCAAAGGTGTGTTCTACAAATACTCCCAAGGAAAAAAAGGCCAGCACGTCCTTCTTTTTCAGAAGCTTCATAATGCTTTTTTCTGATGTTGCCTTGACTGCTATTGTTCCTTGACTAAAATAGCAATTCATAATTTTAAAAACAACTTTGATTTCAATTGTTCAAAAATAGTCGTCACTAATTTCATGGCTCCACGTAAGCATTTTGTAGCAAGTTTAAGTATCAGCTGCTACCAGGAGAACCAGGAAGCCACGTGCAAAAAGTATACCTTGCTACAGCATCCTGCATAAAATGAAAGTTGAAAGCGAATTTGGGTGAATCTGTACTTTCGTAACACATCTGAATACAGCAAAAAATATATTAAAATGGACCATAAGACATAAGATACACTTACCATTTGTATCTCTTCAGGTGACAGCTCATCTTCCCCTTTGCCATCCCCCCACAATCCAAGGTTACTCTGGGCATCAGGCAGATTCTTGTCTGTAAAAGAGCCACCAAACACTTGAGACAATGCAGGAAGCTGAGCAGTGAAGTGAAAACCATTTTTCATCCATTTCAGAATGCTGGTGAAATAGTTGTATCTCTTTTGTCATTAACTGAAATTCACCTTTTATTTACAGCACAAAATTACACCAATAACCTTTAACTTCTAAACTGGGACAACAGTCTACACATGTGTTTAATTTTGTGAACTACAAGGAGTTGCACTAATATATTGACAGTGAAATATGTAAAACAACTCACGATGCACTAAGACTCGTTAGAGCACAAGACACTGTAGCATTTGTCTTTTATCAGATGAAAACACACAATTTTCCAAATGACAGTCTGCATTGCAAACTATTATCTTCCAATGAGACTTGACAGAACAACCAGCTCCTCGTTCCAGAAAGTAAAAACACAATCTCAAAGACGTTTTGGGCAAAGTTTGCAGGACAAACTATTTCCTCACACTGTCCCAACTGCCTATTCCTGTGCAACCCCACCAGCACCCTGTGCAAGGGCTCTTCCTGCGATCCCACAAACTAACCCTCACACATCACTGCTGCTTCATTCATTTCCATAGTACTTCCCCTTTGATTAAAGCTGATCATCTGCATAAATCTTAACAGGAGTTGGGCATAAAAGATCATAAAAACGGCTATTTCTGGGATCCTCCCTTCTGGAAGATTTATTTTTAGGCTTAATTATATACTTCTGATTATAGAAAAAGATAGAATGGGAAAACCAAGAAAGCATGCTACAGGAACCCACTGTTTCTGAAGCTCTTCTAGCATCAGTGTTTAAAATCCTAGGGATGAGACTGCACTTCTCAGAAGGCCTCTCTTCTCCCCACTGGCTGAGACAAAACCCAAAAGAGGGATGTGCACCACCCCACCACAGATCAAAGCTGAACCTGCTTTGACTTAATCAGACGCAGATTGCAAAGTGAAATACCAAAAGATTTATTTTTTTACTTTTTCATAGATTTCAGACTTCCCAGTCCATTTTTTCCAGGCATTTCTAAGTATATTCATTTGTTTTGTTATAACCTTCTACACCTAATTTTTTTCACTTGCATAAGCAGCACTGATGCATCATCATTCAGATACTGGCTTCTCTTGGGAAGCCTCTGAAAGGAACAGTCCTATTTATAAACAAATACATGAAAAGGATTATAAGCAGATTTTTTCCCCTTTATCCTTCATTATATTTATCCTTCATTATCCTTCCCCTTCACTATATCCTTCATTATATTATATCCTTCAATATGTGAAAATTCTTGCAAAATAAATATTGTAAGAGTATTGTTGTGTATGTCTCCTTTGTAAATGTGTATTTTGCTTCCCATCAACCAAACCAGGATGTACAACCAATGACAATGTTACAAATGAGGGATGTGGATAAGGAATATAATAAAATTAAAAAAAACAAAACCAATCAAACAACAAAATTAGATCTGTTCTTTCTTACAAGAAATAAGAACAAGAATATCTTTACAGATTATTTAGAAAGGACTCAACTCTATGTTTTCCATGGAGCATCATCAGTATTTCAAGTCTGTTTCAAAGAAACACAAAACTTATTTTTTTAGTAATCAGTGCATGTACTTTATATCAAGATTACAATGAATTATATAGTGGATTCAAAGAAAAGAAGATAATTAGTTTATGGAGACAAAAAATAAGGTATATTCCTATTTTATCCCAGAGGAACCAATTACTTTCAGGCACTGTCAGCCCTGTTAAAAAACCAGCACCTGTATCCAACGCGATTGCTAATAAGCAAATAGGGCAAGAGGTAAGTGAGAAACACGTATCTCCCCAGGGTTCCTCCTGTCACCTTGGTACATTTGTGGCTACTGGGAAAGTTGTTCTGCAGCTTCCATTGAGCTGAAATAAATGCTTTTCTACGATTCATCCAGCAAAAGCCAAACTACGTTTCTTTCACCGAAAGAGAGGTAGTTAATGCACGCTGGAGGTACAAAATAATGATCAGATCCTCTGACCCCTTTTCCGTGCTGAGACAGCTGCTAAGCTTGTGGGCCAGTTCAAAAGCTACTCATCATTTACATTTATTTCCATAAACTAAATGTCGAATTTGTAATATGCAAATAAATACTGTCAGCATATAAAAGCAATCTCCAGAGACACTATTTTCCTACCACTATAATTCTAATGTAAACAGGTGCTTTGCCTCAGAACAAAAGTAGTCACGTTTTGCTTTGGTTTCTGACCCCTCCCAAAAAACCCCAGATAAAACCCAAGTTGTGCCTCAGCACAACACACAGAACATTCAGCTGTTCACCATAACGTTCAATTTAAACACAGGGCCACAAGCAGCTCTCAGAAGAATTATCTTTACAGCCTAGATATTTAAGCAAGGAATCCAGGCACGCTGGTGATGGCTAATTCATAAATACAAATGATCAGCATTCTCTAAACCACCAGCATCCTCAGGCTGAAACAGTTTCTTTCTAAACACAGTAATTTCTCCGATTTCTTAAAAAATTGAAAAGTTACTTTTAAAAAGAAGTATAATCATCAAAGGCCACCAGATTTAAACTGAGCTGCTTGTTTCCTAGTCATCTTGCTCATGCTTTTCCCATGCTTTGACAACCACCTACCAGTGAAGTGACAAGGCTGATTTCTATAAGCAGCAGCAACCAACACTTACACTTAGGTGAGGAATCACTGGCTGCGTGCATTTATAAACTGTTTCAGACAGATTTATTTTCATATACAAAGTGCCATAGTTTTCTCAATGACTGGTCAGCAATCCTGCATAAGTGTTGCATCAGCATCACTTATGCAATGGGACCCCTACTTTCTCATAAAAAAATTAAAGCATAAACAGTGAAAACTGGAGTAATCAAAAATGCACGGGCAAGAAACAAAGCTTCAGGTCTGTTTACTGCAGTGGTTTGCTGTGTCCAAGGCAACCAAAGAACAGCATTTCCCACGGTGTGGCACAGATTTTTGGAGCTAAAAATTCTATGGACACGATGTGGTGGGAGTGAGCTGTCAGAGATTGCGGGGACGCTCCGTAAGGAGGCAAGAGCACAGGGCAAGAGAGATGCTACTACGCTGCCGCCTCTCTGCTGGCACCAGCTCACAGCTGCAAAACACTGATAACGTGCTAAGGTGAAACTCATCTGTGTGCCCCTCTGCTGCATCACTTCAGACATACTATAAAAATGTAGCAAGCACTAGAAGCGACACATAATCAAAACCTTTCCTTCTTATGATAAACTCAGTGTCGGGGATAAAAAAAAAAAAAAGAAAAAAAAGAAGAAAAAAAAAAGAAGTGTACTGATAGGGGCTGCAGAAGTACAAACTGGTTAGGGAGATAAGCAATGCTCTATCAGAAAATGAAACCGTTCACACGCTGTGAGGTAACTCAGTATTAGAGTCTTCATCCAGAAATGGAGTACTCACTTCACATGAATCCACCCTCTGTACGGCCCTAAAGCCACCAACCAGAGAAACTTTACTCTTTTAATAAAAAACACTGAAGAAGCAATAACTGATTATCAGAATAACATGGCCATCCAGTGCATTTCTTCTATCTTGATGATGTATAATACTAGTGTAATGTCACCTTTCTTACAGTTCCTGTTTCTCTCCCAAAATAAGTTTCATGCTGTAAACCACAGGGTTACCTTGGACTCCATTAGATCACACAAGCAGAAGAACTCCAGCCAGGGAAAGCAATGGCAGAGAAACAAGTTTTCTCCTCAGGTATGCAACCTGAAATTATCTGCATAGTGGTGGTACTCCAAAAGGTGCTCTGCAACAAAGCTCTGCCAGCGTCCACATCCCAGGACAGACTAAAATGGCTAGGAGAAGGCACTTACACCTCCTGGTCTCAGAAGCAGGCCACTGAGGAACTGGAAACAATGTTTGCAAGTCTAGAATCATAGAATGGTTTGAGTTGGAAGGGCTTTAAAGACCATCAAGTTCCAACCTCCTGCCATGGGCAGGGACACCTCCCACCAGACCAGGCTGCTCAAAGCCCCATCCAGTTTGGCCTCGAACACTTCCAGGGATGGGGCATCCACAACTTCTCTGGGCAACCTGTTCCAGAGTCTCACCACCCTCACAGGAAAGAATTTCTTCCCAGTATCTAATCTAAATCTCCCCTCTTTCAGTTTAAAACCACTACCCCTCATCCTATCACTCCACACCCTGACACAGAGTCATGGTTTAACCCCAGCCAGCAAGTAGGACCATGCAGCCATCCATTCAGTGCCCACTTCCTCCTCCCCTCCCATGAAGGGTAGAGAGAAGAAAGAAAAAGGGAGAGGAAAGAGAGAAGAAAAACTTGTGGGTTGAGAAAAAGAAAATTAACTTTTTCTCAGCTGAAACCAGGACAACGGGTATTGATAAAAATAACTAGAAAGGAAAGAGTTAACACAGAGTTTATTGAGAGGATGAGGAATTCAGCAAGGCTTTAGACACTTTTAGCTGGTTGGAAAAAGCATGTAAAAATGTGTAAGACTTTGCCTCTTCACGTCTCACAATGTGTTTCACAAAAGCGTGATCAACTCCGGAAGATGAAAATAGAAAAGGTGCCAGTCACAGGAACAGGCCTTTGTAGTGTGAAGGAAGCACCAGACAGGCTTTGCCACAAAAAGTAAAATATAACTATGTTTTATTCTTACCTTTGCTTTCCTCAGGAGAAAGTTTTTCTTCAGAATCATCCAAAGGATTCTGTGAAGATTTTTCAGGGGAAAGAGGCGATTTGGACACGTTGCTCTGCTCAGGTTCAAGTCTGGACCTAGAAGCACAAGAGCCTATAACTGAACTGATATTCCACCAATTAATTTTTCTAAAATGAGAACAAGCCCAGATTACTAAAATTGACACTTTAACTCTTGCAAACTTCACAGTAAAGGTTTCCCAGTCAAGATAGAAAAAGTACTTAGCAACTTTCACAGAAATATTATTACAAAAGCAAAGAGAGCACAAATAGTATTCCTGAACAAAGCACATTACAGGATCAGAGTTGAGGAGAATTTTGAAGGCTACAGACATTTTCTTAAATTTGCTTTCAAAAACTCAGTGTATAAAAATATGTATTTTTTTTTAAAAAAACAAACTTTGGTCATACTGAAAATTTTTTTTAGTAGCAATGGCCAATGCCGCTACTTTATTTTTTTTCAAGTAATAATTACAATTTTACTTTATATTGTCAATTATCATAAAGGAAAAGTAAGAAAATACAACAGAATTAGCTTTTTTCCTAAAACAAGTATTTCATTTAACTAGCTTTGAAAAATAATTTAGTCTGGATGACAGCAATTCTTCCTTGCCTGCCAAAAGACACTTTAGAAGCAAGGAAAAGAAAAAGCATGCAGTGGACAGATAGATACTACAGCTAAGTTCCTGCTATGTAATTTTAATACAAAGGCAATCCAAAAAATGAGAAGCATATTCAGGGATTATGTATTAAGTACCTGTCAAGTACACTTCTCTCTGGCACCAAAAAAACTTTAAAATCAGCGGCAAAATTTTTTTTTCCAGCAAACTTCTGTGGTTTATTGTAGCCAGTTAAAAGTTTAACAATTACACTGTTAGAGAAGCTGAAGAACAAAAAAATGAAAAAGCAATGGGCTGAATCACCTGCTGTGCCACCGTCATCACTTCCTTCCCTCTAAAATATAATCAACAGTTAATCTCCTTATGATTTGCAATTTTCCCCCACTGCTTAACAGAAGGTGTTGCATTTTGTGCTCCTTTCCTTCTTTGTATTGTGTCTAAATTCTAACCCATAATTAGAAAATTCTGAGAAAAACAGAATATAATGCATTAGTCATCACTGAGTGAATATTATTTAAACCAGAAAAAACAGTAACAGGGAATCTTGCTTAGTTCCAATAACTTTGCAAGTTCTGGCCTTTTGGTAATTTTACAAAAAACTCTTCTTCTTTCATCTACTTTCACTCCCAAGTCCCAAATTTGCCTAATAATGAGGAAAAGAAGACTTATCTGGATATCTCCACAGTTCAAATTATAGTTCTGACAGCAATAAAACACCAGATCCCTGGATAATAAAAACATCAGCTTGATTTGAATAATTACATACATAATTCACAACATATTCTAGTGGAAAAAGTAGTTTAAAATTGAAATTAAATATAATTTTGAATACCAGTAAACACAAAAACTGAAAATCACAGCCAAGTACCTTTACAGAAAAAGCTGCTTGTGTTTCTCAACTTTTAATTCTGGAGAACTAGTGCTATGGAATTGGCAGAATCAAAAATTATGAGTTAATACATAATGGCAACTTGTGTAAGAAAATGATAACACTCCGGCAATTTGTTGAAGAGTTTATGATGTTTATCAATATAAAAGGAAACATATTAAAGTACATTTCTACTGCAAACCTTTCAGCACATATTTTAAGTTGACTAAATTGCAGGAAAGAAGATCTGCACTAGGATTAATTTACTTTTAAAGAAATTTATTCCTTTATTGCTTGTTGTCCTTACTTTGCACTTTATGCTAATCCACAATGTTTTCAATTAAAAACGAACAAAATGCCTGGGATGCACTATTTAAAGAATGCTGAGTTCTTTTAAGTGATGGAACACGTTCTTGTTACCACGTAGAGCGTCTGCTGAAATCCTTGAGGAAATTACAAATCAACACCAAAAAAACCCCCACACAGTTTGTTTTGTATGTTTTTTCGGAGAAGTTACGTGAGTTACAAAAATACCAATACCTTACTTGTCTCTCACCACTTCTCACCAAATTTCAGAACTGATTTGGGGAATTTGGTTTACTTGGTTTTGGCTTGTGCTACTATTAATGTCTCTGGAGAATATATCCGAGTGAATCTAACTGTGCTTAATCATGCTGAATCAATCTGAATATAATGGACTTATGGGCTTTTGAAAACTTCTCTCTAGTTTCAATGTAAATAGCTGATGTACTTACGGGCTTTTCTCTCTAGTTTCAATGTAAATAGCTGATGGGGAATTTGGTTTACTTGGTTTTGGCTTGTGCTACTATTAATGTCTCTGGAGAATATATCCGAGTAAATCTAACTGTGCTTAATCATGCTGAATCAATCTGAATATAATGGACTTATGGGCTTTTGAAAACTTCTCTCTAGTTTCAATGTAAATAGCTGATGGAGCCAAACACCAAACTGAAAAGCAGCATCAAGTCTTGGAAAAACACTCAAGAATTTATTTATTGATATGTGTGTTCTAGAATTTTTTATTTTTAAATTAAAATCTACATAACTGAACTTGAAGGTTAGAATTCAAATAATGCAGATTGAGAAGACACGGAAAGCCTTTCACTTACTAAATAAATTGCAAACCTGTTCATTCCCCCTCTCATTCTTACACCTGGTAGCATGCAGAAACTGAAAAAGTATGGTTGAAAGAAAAGAAGAAGAAAAAACCCAACAAAGCAACCAAACCAAAAAGCCAGCAAGTACATAATCTTTAACTTCTCCTAAACATTTTCACTCTATGTTAGCAGCCTGACTGCATATCACCATAGGAAGCAGAAAGTCTTTTGTTTCAGTTAAGATGTTACATTCAAGATTTTCACATTAACCATGTTTCTACTTGCCATGAAGACCCGCCAGGTCAAGTAGCCTTTATTCACAACATAATCACTTGCTTTAGTAGAAAGATAGTGTCTTAACAGAAAACAAAACCAAAAAACCCAAAAAAGCTGTCGTTGCTTTTGTAATAATATTTCAGTGAAAGTTGCCAAGTACATTTTGACTGGGAATCCTTTACTGTGAAGTTTGCAAGAGTTAAAGTGCCTCTTGTACCTCAACAGACAGTAACCTAAATAGCATCTTTGAGCATTCCCCCTCTCATTCTTACACCTGGTAGCATGCAGAAACTGAAAAAGTACGGGTTTTGATACTTGACTGGAAGAAAAAACCCAACAAAGCAACCAAACCATGGTTGAAAGAAAAGAAGAAGAAAAAACCCAACAAAGCAACCAAACCAAAAAGCCAGCAAGTACATAATCTTTAACTTCTCCTAGACATTTTCACTCTATGTTAGCAGCCTGACTGCATATCACCATAGGAAGCAGAAAGTCTTTTGTTTCAGTTAAGATGTTACATTCAAGATTTTCACATTAACCATGTTTCTACTTGCCATGAAGACCCGCCATGCCAAGTAGCCTCTATTCACAACATAATCACTTGCTTTAGCAGAAAGATAGTGTCTTAACAAAAAACAAAACAAAACAAAAACCAAAAAAGCTGTCTTTGCTTTTGTAATAATATTTCAGTGAAAGTTGCCAAGTACATTTTGACTGGGAATCCTTTACTGTGAAGTTTGCATACATTTTGTATCTTGACTGGGAATCCTTTACTGTGAAGTTTGCGGTCAAGTAGCCTTTATTCACAACATAATCACTTGCTTTAGTAGAAAGATAGTGTCTTAACAGAAAACAAAACCAAAAAACCCAAAAAAGCTGTCGTTGCTTTTGTAATAATATTTCAGTGAAAGTTGCCAAGTACATTTTGACTGCTGTCTTTGCTTTTGTAATAATATTTCAGTGAAAGTTGCCAAGTACATTTTGACTGGGAATCCTTTACTGTGAAGTTTGCAAGAGTTAAAGTGCCTCTTGTACCTCAACAGACAGTAACCTAAATAGCATCTTTGAGCCCTATTACCAACGTGCAGGATTTCATTCTAAACTACTTTATGCAGAATATTACTTAATGGGAGACAATAAAATATTTTGTTGCATTTGTAGAAGTCCAATAGTTTTATTAACCCATTTTTTACTGATTTGAGTCTTAAATTATTTACAGAAATGAGAAGTAAAACACTATATTGGCACTCTGCCTTTTATAGACTCAACTTCACAGGCCAGAAGCATTGAAGAGCCCTGGACTGCACCTGCTGACAGCAAAAGTTGCTCACCAACGACAGATTTCCATTAAAACAATCTCCTTAGAATCTAAACATGAATAATAGTTTTGTTGAGTGTCCTACAAACAAAAGGCACAGTTAAACTATATTTTGACACTACTCACAGTCTCTTCTTATCTATCACTCGCTTCACTCGGATGGCTCTTTGTTCAGAATACAGCTTACACACTCCTGTTCAAGACAGCAGTAAACAAAACTTCAGGTTAGAAGATCACGATTTTTTCTTGGAAAATAAAGTCACCCATTTTTAATCACACAATAAACACTAAGTACTTTTTAAGTAATCTTCAATGAAGTCCAAGACAGCTGTTCTGTGCTCCTTCACCTGAGCAGACTGGACACCCTTGTGTGCTGAAATAAAAAAAAGACAGATATAACACAACCTTTTAACTTTTTACTGAATTGCACCAAAGTTTGCATTTTCAGTTGATATGCAAGTTATATTCAACAGTCTATTCACATTTTACATACGTTATATATTAGTATTTTAAACACAGCTATATTTAAATATAGGTTCTGTAAAACAGCAAATCATTACAACAAACAAGCTGAAAAGAACCAGTGTCTTACAATATTTATGTTACTGATTTGTTACATATGCCACTGACTCGTCAATTAAATTTCTAAACAAGAATAGATGTCACCAAGCTAAGCAGAGCAAAACAGATCTACAGATTTAACTTGCTGAAAATATTGAACTTCTAACATTTTAAATTCTCCAGCGTACAGACTGTGGAAATACTTGGCATTTATTATGTCAAGTACCCTTTCAGTTCACATATATTAATATTTCTTATTTTGATACTAAATAGTTCCCATGCATGACTGACTTGCAATGATTCTGAATAATGCTACAACTATGTTTAGACGGCATTTCAAAGCTGATGAAAATCTTTGGTATATTGGTAAAATACACACATACAGCACATCAACTTGAAAATGGCAAACCAGAAGTTCTCTCTACAACTTCCACAAGATAGTGTTGTAAAGATACAATCCCATACTCAAGTTGTCCAAAACACTGTTACTTTACCAGGACTGTGTCAAACTTCTTTAATTATCTCAAACTTGGAAAGATTATACTTGTAACACCTTGCAGGTGGACAAGCTAGAAAGAGACAGCCACTGAATTTAGTGAGCTTTGGGTCAGGATTCTGTGCCACGGGGCTAAATCGCTATTCAAGTAGTAAATATTTAAGACTATCTTTTTTACGCTTGCAAATTAGTGTATTTGAACAAATAAATAAAATTCTATGCTCTGGCTTCTCCTTCCACTAACATTAAAGGAAATTAGGTACAGTACTACTCAGCCAATGGGATAACCCAAATGCGAACAGAAAGGCAATGAGACTTCACCGATCTCCTTCCAAAAGCATTTCAGATTCCCCACCCACTATTCAGCATTGTATTAGCCTTTATCAATAACTCAGAAAGAAATATTTAAGAGATGCTCAGTTTACCTTCCGTTCTCAGCTGATGAATGGCGTCGGCACACGTCCTCATAAATATCTGAGCATCTTGGTCTATCTGATCACGCTCCGTGTCTGTCATCCTCACATACTCAGACATGATATGGCTGAGAAACAAGACAAATTGTCACTCAAGAAACCCCCAACATAAAATTTACAAGTACACATTTTTAGACCACCTTCCCGCTCACCATCTCTACAGAAGGTTTTCTGCAACACTGATTTTCATGGAATAAGTAGTAAAAAGGACAGTAACCATCAGTGACAAAAATGCCACTTCTATAAAGCTGAGAGGTTTTTTAAAACATCTTTTGACTAGTAAAAGATCCAGAAAAAGCAGTCTATGTTATCATCTCATACATAATCAAATACTGAGCAGATAAGGAGAAAATACAGCTAGAAAAATCTATCATTACCCTCAGTACTTATTTCAGTGAAGCATATTTCAAATCTAAAAACACGAAAACAAGTAGGATGAAGGAATAGCTCAAATGTTGAAAGAAGTACAAAAAATTGGAACTCATTTTACTGAAATGTATGTTGTCATTTCCTAAATACAGAGCTTCATTTTTAAAGTAGCTGCGCTATGAAATCTGTGAATTTAAACCATAGTAAAGAATAATATTGGAAAATAATGCAGATTTGAAGTATCAAGTTGATTATAAGATTTATTAAAACCTGTTCCTGTTATTTCTGATTTACATTATATATGAATCCTATTAGAAAATATTACATAATATATCTTTTTTTAATTAATAAAAAGGAGGCCTGTCAGTAAAACATTAACACCCTGTAGATAACCACAAGAAATGCCTCTTTATAAAGGTATTTAACAGTGTTTCCACAGCCGTAGATGACAGGATGATAAAACTTTGCTACAGCAGGTTATCTTATGTTCATCTTGGATTTCCTGATGATACAGTCATCACAGCTTATTATATTTGCCTTTTAAAACAGGAAAGAAAGCCTTAGCTCATACCCTCATTTTAATTTAGATTTTTGTTTACATGTGAAAATTTCCCCACCTGCTCAAGGTCTGCATAATGCAATTATATTAATGCAGTAATACAAGTAAAAAGAAGGGATCTTCAATTTGCAAAGCCAGCCTGATACCCTCGGAGAGATCTCACACACTTCACTGCAATAATGCCAAATCTTTCCCGTGTCTGCTGGAATCCCTGCCATGGGAATGCCCTACAACTTATTTCACATCAGCCCATCTCATCATCTCTCATCACACACAAAACCACCAGCTCCTTCCTGCAGCTTCCATGTACCGTCAGCGCTGGTGTCCCAGCACATCTCCTCCACAAAGTTTTAAGCTTACTCTAATGTCCCTGAGTATTAGACCAAAATGTCTTCACTCCCGTCCCACATCACTGATTGCACAGGAAAAAAGCAGCATATGGTTCATCTGGCTTGAAAATTAGTTTCTGCTTACTGGCCAGCTAGTACACAAGCACAGATTAGCCAGCAAACAGTAAGGCAAACTAATTAAAAGTAATATTCCCTATTTTACTTGTTTGTTTCCAACGTTGTCATGTATTTCACTTCTAAACGTCAAGATGCTTTTCCTCCCTCTTATCAAAACTACTCTAAATGCTATAAAATTATTTTTTACAACTTAACAGAAAAGCAGCCATATATAGTGTTTCCATTTATATTTTATTAGCTGAATTGCCCTCCTTTGGTCTGGACAGATGGGTTTCATAAATCTGTGGCAAAACCTCTATCACAACTGTAATCAGAGGTCTTCTAAGCTGTAACTCTAATTCCCACTCTCTGAGAGAGCAGCTTCTGAACGATGAAAGATTTGAACTAGTCCAATTTTAGAGACATCTGATGGAAAGGCTCTGCACAGCCTGGTTAAGATGACGTATTGATAGTCACGTATGCAATATAAGATAACTCATACTGTTAAATATTTTAGGACAGATCTCTCTCCTGCTCCCTTTCCACAGCTTATATAGATGGGGCTTTTTATTACTAGCCTGTGGCGTGAGCAAGTTCTCAGCATGTCTAAAGCCAAAAAATCCATTCTTACATCCATCTCTGCACAGGCCCAGAGAGAAGGGGACCATTGAGATCATCTGCTGTGGGATAATGCACAACATCGTTCCGTAATCCACACCTAGGGAGTTACTTGAGCATGTTAGGGCACACAGATTCAGACAGAAAATGAGGATGGAGTAAATGAGGACAGCTTCATGATAGCCCCTTGATGAAGCAAAAAAAAACCTCCGCTCTTCTATTTCAGAGTACAGTAATAAGTCCTGGCTGGTCTGCTACTGAACAGAGCATAAAGTTCTTGTCTCTATGTGTCTAGGTTCTTGTACCCTGCCCAGCTTTGTGGTACTTGCAGAGTTCTATGTTTTCAGTTCACTTTTTAACATTACAGGGTAAAATAAAGATTACAAAATGCAAACCAGAATTTTCTTTTTAAATCAGACTTAGAAATATATATATGAGAAAAACCTGCCTCAGGCACACTTTATTTTTTACTAACAGTGAAACCAGTAGTAACATAGTGATACACTGAAGATAACTGTAACAGCTCTAACACTGGGAAATGAGTTGTTCAGTTACTTTTCATAGTAGCTAATACAAAATTATGGTAGATCGAATTCTTAAATGCGAGTTTCATGGCTTCAAAGGTAGTAAAATGCAGCTTAATCCAGTAAAAAAAGAAATAGAATACTTCTCTTGTTATAACTATGTACATCTAACATAGTGTCTGGTACCAGAGCTTTTGAACAAGAGCTGGCCAAGCCACTCGGAGGCAAGGATACCTGAAACCCAACCTCCTTGGAAAGGCAAGAATGGAGTCATGTAATGCCATCCCATTATGTCAAAACACACATGGCATCCACTTGTACTAACAGGGTACTGAAGCCCCCATTGCACTCCCCAGTAAAATCTGCGCATGGAGATTATACTGAAAATCCATCTAATCACCATCCTCTAGCCTTACCATAAAAAGAACCATTCATTTAAAAAGAATGGGCCAAGGAAAAACAAAAACACACCAAGAAAAACCCCAACTGAACAGAAAAAAAATAAAATCCAGCTGTGCCCTGTATGGCAGAGATACAAATACTTGGCTCAGAAGGGCAGTGGCAGAATCACAGCAATGGGTTTATACACCGCTAGATCAAGAAATGTCAAACAAACCAGGTTTTTCAGAAGCAATCAGAAGAATTAGCCAAGACAAACACTGGGTAGCTCATGCAGATAAAGAAGGGAGAAAAGGGGAAAAGAAATTCTTCTAGAGTCTTATCCTAATCAGTAGGAGAAAGCTTCATGAGAAACTTGGCCTGGAAGGCAACTTGGGTGATTTGTGATTTTAGAAGGTAGGTAAGAACAAGATAAAGACGGTGGTCATCAAGTAGGCAAACGGTAGGCATCAAGTAGTTTAGAAAAATTAGTACGTTAAATTGCACAGAAAAGGGAAACATAAAAATGAAAAAAATACAGGTGAACTAGTAGTTTTTGCAGAGAAATGACATAGAATCATAGAACTGTCTAGGTTGGAGGGGACCTTTGAGATCATCTAGTCCAACCATCAACCTAACTCTGATAAAAAAAACAAAAAACAACAACCTATCACTAAACCATGTTGCAGAGCACTATGTCAACCCGTCTTTTAAATACCTCCAGGGATGGTGCCTCAACCACTTCCCTGGGCAGCCCATTCCAATGCTTAATAACCCTTTCTGTGTAAAAATTTTCCAATATCCACTCTGAACTTCCCTGGCGCAACTTGAAGCCCTTTCCTCTTGTCCTATCGCCTGTGACTTGGAAGAAGAGATTGTCCCCCACCTCTTTCAGGTAGTTGTAGAGAGTGATAAGGTCTCCCCTCAGCCTCCTCTTCTCCAGGATTTCTGCCCTTGATGAAAGGGAAGAACAGACAATGCAGCAAGAGATCAACTTGACTACTGCATGAGCTCTTCAGTGGGCTCAAACACAAAACCCAGCCTACAGAAAGTGCAAATTAAGACTGACTGCTACTGACAAGTCTAAAGGAACACAGCATGTAGGGACAGAATCAGAAAAAGGTCAAATGCAGGATGAGACAAAACTGGCAAGAGACGTCAATGATAACAAGAGATTACTCTGCAAGTATTACCAAGAGAAACACCTAAAATAGGAAATGCATCAAATGAAAGGATGTATCTTCAATGCCAAGAACTAGGGGAGAACAAATAAGTGCTAGGTTGATGAAAAAATGAAGTATAGCAACTTACTTCAAAAAACAGTGTTAAGGAAAAAAAAAAAAACAGAGGACTTATAGACCATTATAGACCATTCAGCCTAGAAAAATACAAGAACAAATAATCAATTTTTAAGCGCTTAGGGAAGAACAAAAAGATAACAAGTAGCCAAAATGTATCAAGAATAAATCATACACAGTGTAATTTACTTCTGGGGTGCAATAACAGGTCTTATGGATGGATGAAAAGCAGTCATTGCTATATACCTTCTCTTTAGTGGGGCTTTTGTTACCATCTCACATGATGTTCTCATAAGCTACCACCAAATAAATGTGTTAGAAACAAGGACCATATGGATGTGAAACTGTCTGAAAAGCAGAACTTGGAGTAGTTATATACCAAAACAGAATGACACACCGAGTTGTGTTCCACAGGAGTTTGTCCTGAATCTGATGGTATTTAATACTTTCGTAACAACTTAGAAGTAGAATGGAATATACACTTACTAAATTTGCAGAGGCATAAAGCTAAGTGAATTAAAACTGTATCAAAAGAACAAGACTCCAATTCAAAATAATATCACCAACTTGGAGAAATGACATGAAGAATTTGAATAAGGAATGGTCAGAGGCACTCTGTTGCAGCAGGAACAATTATCTTGCCCATTCTCTGTGGGTTCACAACTGATTAGGAAACCGTTCTTCAGAAAGTCATCTGGGATCGCACTGGATCACAAACCAAACATAACAACAACATGTTGTTGCATAAAAAGTTACCATTACAATGGCATGCATAAATGCAGTATAATCCAGTAGGAACAAAAGGTAATCTTCCTGCTATCCTTAGCTTTGGGAAAGGCCTCAGCTGGAATTTTGTTTCATTTCAGCCCCTCACTGCAACACCAACTGGAACAGTATCCAAAGGAGAGGAAAATGTACAAAGATAAAAGAGAACATGTATGAAAACCCAAATACAGTGTAATTGTTGATTCTAGAAGAGATCGAGGAGAAATCAAAACAAGCTAGTGTAAACCAAATAAAATTCTAGTAGCATGGGTAAAGAAACAGGAAAACGTAAAGGGAGGATATGGAATCTCCACTGAAAGAAATATTTAAAAGCAAGCAAAACGTGGTGGTAGAATGGCCTAGTCATTCTCTTTCTGAATGTATCAGCCATCCTCCTTCCAGTCTGTCATTTCTATGATCCTATTTTGCTGGCAAAGCACAAGGAACCACAGCTAATGGAGGCGTTATACCAGCTTTTGGAATTAGTAACTCTTTCTGCTGGTGCATAAAATATTTTCTGCTTACTGATTCAATAAAGACACCAAATCAAGCAGAAATACTTGATTTTCTTCCAACAACATGTTACAAAAGAGAGAGAAGTAATAAGCTGAAATAAAGCAGTTCTAATAAACCAGTAAGTATCTTTGCAGTTGCAAAAGACAATAAATTAGATGTCTAACAATCCCAGATGGAAAGCTTTGAGAGGTACAAGGTGTTCTGTGGCCAAAATCTAGAATTCTTTCTTTTCCAATGTCTGATCAAAACAGTAGGAGTAACTACAGTCTTTAAACTGTCTAAACCTTGAAAGATCCTTCAGAGAAACTGGAGGCTGTGGAGGAATCCCAAGAGGACCATTTCAAATTCCCAAGTGTCAGGGCACTACAGCTAGTTCCTCGACCTATATTTAACACAAACATACAAACTGTCTTGGTGGTTCAATGATCAAAACCAAGAAGGAGCCGATGATGGAAAGCAAAGGCACAAGTTGTTCACAGATGAAACATCCAACAATTTACCAAAGACTGAAGACAGGATCTCACACAGCACGGTGTAGAAAGCAATGTAGGAATTCATTACAGCCAATAGACTGAGTGGAAGAATATATAGAACGTATAGCCATCATACGCTAAAAATGGGAAGGTGAGTAACAATCCTCATCTGAAAAGAGAGATCACAGTTTGCTTAATAAGCAAAAATAAAAAAAGCACCCACATATTGCTGATGATGCAACGTCCCATGATTTATCTACACATTTCTTATGAAATACCCTGCCACTGAATGTGTTCACTGATCATTAGTATGATACCCAAAGGGCTTCATTAGGTTTGAAATGTGTATATGAAGCCAGCAAGAAAATAATTTACATTATTTAAGTTATTTTTCTTTCAGACAAGGCTCTACTGTTAAATAAAAGCAATGGTACATACAGTTAGTGGTCCTTCCCTTAGTAAGTGTAACCAATGATAACGAGTCACTCATAGGCTTTGCTACTCATTCAGTATCTTCATTATTTATTATTTTTCCTTAAAATGTATGCTGTAGACAAAGCCCAAGTTTTAACTATTTTTCATTTTAAAATGAATACAAGCCTCAATTTTTAAGCCAAATGACAAGAAATAACCATACATTTGGAGAGAAGTTTGAAGGAGGAGCTTCTATACATGCCCCTCTGTAAATTAGTTTTCCAACAAGCCTGTTTCAAATGTCCTCACTGTAACTCACACTGTCAGTGGAAGATGATTCCACATCTCTGGTACTGCTATGGCTCTCAAAAGTTGCATCCCGAGGAGAAAATCAAGGTAGATAGAATAAAACAGGCAAGAAGACAAATCAGAAAAGTCCCTTATTGCAGCAAGCTGAAAACCAAGGTGTAAGAGAAAGCAAATGAATCCTGATAAACAGGAGAGGATGAACGTGCAATTGCTTGTAGGTCAGCAAGTTTAGGTCACCGCATCACTAGTTTCACGTGCTTTGCAATTTGCATATTTTATAGCTAACACTCAAATCAAGAAGGTGAATAAGCAATTACTAATTCTTGAGCTTTTTGGACTCAATTTAGGTATTACAGTTAAAATTTTAAAGTTTGATAAAATGGGTCAGGGCCTTAGTTTCAATTAACCCTTCTTCCGGTTGTCTTCTGCATTGCTAAAAATCTTTCTCTAAAAATGAATTAAAGACATCCCCTCTGTAGCAGGGCATTTTATGTATGCCAAAAATAAAAACTCTATTAATAAAGAATTTATAGTCTCCAAAAGTAAGGTCAAAGAAGCAATCAAGGACTTGGATGTAACACATTATGAAGAAGTTTTAGAATGCATACAATAATTCAACTTGGTAACTCAAAAGCTGAATTTCACCAACACGTTGTGCTATAGTTGAAAAACAAATAGCAGGATTGACAAAATACAGAGTAGTCAAATTTCATTAACAAAATTAAGCCTTCTACATAAATTCCAGCACAGCCCTTTAGTATTAAATTGTTTAAAAATTTTCCCCAAATACAGTAGCTTATGTATTGAAAAATTATTAAAACTGCTGTCTTGAATGAGCGAGGCATTTGGTAAGATTCAGACTGACAGTACAGACACTGTGATCCTCTTTGCATCCAGAAAGTAGAACAGCATAAGCACTGCAGTAAGGAATCTGACAGTACTATCTATTTTAAGTTTGACCATTAAGGACAGGATCAACTGCAATCACAGATGAGATCTGGGGGACATGACACTTCTTTTTCCCTCTCCTTAGTTAATACCTGAGCTGTAGGGGAGTGAAAATCACTGAGAACTACCACAATAACTGGTTAAAATAGAGTTTACAAGAACATTAAAAAAACCTTTTAGTAACCAAAATAGCTTGGACGCATTTTCACTCCTCTCATCACTTCAATTTTATGCATACTGCTGTTAATAAAATACAAATAGTACTCAAAATTTAACTGCTACAGTTTGCTCTTACTGCAATTATTTGCAGTTTCTCAGCTCATGCACTCACAGGAAGCTTTCCCACAGTAAAAATAGTTATTTCAACAGCAAATTGGTAGCTCCCCCTGGTGTTGCTCGTGGCCTATTCTAACGGGAACTGAAAAGCAGAGTGTGTCACAACATGTGGCTGCACCCTATTTCCACTCGTTTTTGGGAAAAGCAGTTCCACATACACCTTGCACGGTGAACTGACACTCCCACCCGTGAACCCTTCTGGAGAAAGGTATTACATTGATTTGGGACTCAGTGTCTTCAACCCAAGATGACTTCAGACTGCACTTTCTCTACCTCGATTGCAGCAAGAGCTTAGCTTTAGTCAGGGTTGTGGCAGGATGGGAATGCAGACAGGGCTGACTCACCCCATGCGATACTGCAATTATGTTGAGGGACTGGAGAAATAGAACAGGGGAAAATGTGATGTTTCAGAAGATCCTTTAAAAGTGAAAGCTTACCTACACTGTATTCGAACATACAACCTCTCCTCTGCCTTCCCTCCCCCAAAAAAGACTCCAGAAAAGTGGGCTGTGTGCTTCTCAGATGATGGTGAAAAAAAGCTATTTAGTTGCTTTAAGTGATAACCCAGAAGTGCCCAGAAGGGCACTACCACCATGACCCACCTTCGACACCTCAAGGACAACTTGCTGACATTCTCTTTGAAGTAGAAACTTCACTTGGAAGAAATTTATTGGTTTCTTTATAATGAGTGCATCCCAGTTCTTTAAAACATCCCAGTCGGGATGCATTCTGCATTGCACACACTGCATGTTCTTCCAATTTTACATCTGGCTGGAATTTAAAAAACTTTTGGTTTTGAACCACAAATCTCAAAATCAAATTGTTTCCCAGAACCCGGGAGAACACGCCTTTCCCTCTGCACAACCAGGGTGGCAGGTCAACCTGCTTTAAATGACAGTGTGACAAAGGCCAGGCAGTTTCAGTGGGTGTTTTTCCCCCTACAAATGTATTTCCCCAAAAGACAGCATTCCCTGTATGTTATGTTGCACTGTTCATTTTTTACCTTAGACATAACTACAGAATGAGAAGGAAGGAAAGGAATGATTAGTTGGATGTTGTGGGGTCCACACTATGAAGACATGCACAGGATATCTACTTTTTTCAAATAAATATTTATAGCAGTCATAAGTGTGTCACAAACCCACTTCTACAATATGAAATGAAAAATGAAACAAACTGGCGAGCAGTTCAACTGGAACTGTTAAACTTCTATTTACAACAGCAAAGTTAGTTAAGTGGAGATACCTGTGAAGTATTTGCTATTTCTGGAATGAAATATTGTGCAACCCATAATGTGACTACTAAGTTTGCACGTAAGAAGAGCTTCATTAAAAAGCAAGTTTTCAATTTCTCAAATAATACGATTATTTGTAGTCAGTTCACCAATATACAAGTTGAAGTAAGACTTGGATCTTAGGATAACTTGATTTAGTAATTCATTAGGACTGTTAAATTTGCAGATCACAAGACAGTCTTATTTTTTCTTTCTAACACCAACCTGTAAACTTGATTTTTATTCTTCTAAAAATCCTACTACTAAAGGTGTCAGCAAGTAAGCAGATAGAGCAGTTTTGAATGTTTCCTAATGGCTGGAGAGAAAATAAATAAATAAATCTAGAATGCACACTTACCTGTAAGCATTAATGTAATCCTTTCTGTGTTGCAGAAGAAAATCTTTCAGCTTTCCAATATGAGAAATCTAAATGAATAGAAATCGTAATTAAACTTCAGTCAGATACCTGATTACTTTAATGTTTAAAGTTCAGTATTCCACACTTCAATATTCCACTAGCAACCTGGTACAGTGGGAGGTGTCCCTGTGCACAGCAGGGGGGGGTTGGAACTAGATGATCTTTAAGGTCCCTTCCAACCCAAACCATCCTATGATTCTAAGATTAATATTGATTTGTAAAATCTATTCTGTAATTAAATTGAATCATAAAATTTACTCTTTTATAGTAGACTTTTCACTTTTTGCAAGCAGTCAATACATAAAAATAATCTAAAAAAAAGATCTGTTGTATGAAAGTACCACTCAGAGAAGAATAAAAATGCGTCTTTTATTCAAAAAGCAAAACTAAATACTAAACACTAAATATAACCACAACATTAAACTTTAAGAATATTAAACATGGTAACAATAACACAAAACATTATCTAACTGGTAATCCAGAACCTAATGTACATTTTAGAAAATAAATTCATTTTAGAAGATCACACAAGAAAGTTTTAAACATTTTACTGATGAGACATGATATAAATATTCAAGTTCCATGGTTAGAACTTGTAGAACAAGGTGCTGTCCCTCTCCTTTCTATTTTGCCATAATAGAGTGACCAGTTTGTGCCCAAACAAAAGTAGTATTCTATCAGCTGATAATCATTAGTAAGTTCTGTCAGAGCGTACATCCCTATCACATTTCTACTTCTGGATTTCCACTTCACTATGGATACATTTTGCTAAAATTCCACCTGTTTTTCTTTATTAAAAGTCTTTACAAAGATCCTTTGAAAAGATGAAAAAAACTCCTAAAAATCTGAAAGAACTTTTGCAAACTGTAGTCTGGTTAAAAAGATTTGGTGTAGCATAAGATGCTGCTTATCTGAGAGAACTGCAGAAATCAAGTTTAATTGCCCACAGAAATGAAATTACTACCAATATGACTTCCTTGGCAGGTCCTGAAGGAGACATGATGAAATATTCTCAAATATTCATTAATAATTCAGCATAAAAAAGCATGCAAGGAATTTTACAAAACAATAGTTGTTTTAGTTTACAAATACAATAAATGTGGTTTACTCCACGTATCTGGGAAAAAGCATCAGAAGCTGTTCAAGTCTTAAAATCCTATTTTCATGCAAATGTTCCTTGTAATTAAACAAACAAAAAAACCACAGAGAAAGAACACAGAATAGTTTGGATAAATAGAAGATTAATTCCCCCAATTATTTTTTTTCAAAAGATCAGCAGCTCTTTGAAAAAAAAGAGAAAAAAAATGTACTTAGTAAGACAGCAGTGATTTGTACAACTGAAAATAAGTGTTTCCTTGTACAAATGAATACACATACATTTCCCTATTATCATTTGCTCTGCTTTATTTTTACTATAACTCATTGTATTGGGTAAGAATTTTCCCAGTTTTCATGTTTAAAGTTTTCCACGTGATTAACAGGATGGGAAATTCAACCCATTCATGGCAAACTGAGTTCTGTTAGTACCTCCAGCAGATTCAAAGTCTCCTAAAGTGTTTTAGCACCGTCATAAGCAGTAAGAAGGGAAATACTGAAATCACTACAAGATCAACGAGGCACAAAGAATAAGCTAAACCATTCTACAGATGTTCCTTCTCATCACCACTGGGATATTTTTTGTATACTAATCTCCTTCTCAGCTCAGACTTGGTATGTCATGAAATTTGCTGAATAGGTAAATTAAGCTTGACTATGAAAGCAAAACATTTAAAACAGTCATACAGTGTTTCAGTAGAACAATAATACTTAATAGGCAGAAAGAAAGTACTACAGAGGACAAAGAGTAGAAATGTAAGATAAGGCACACATTTCAAAACATTTATATTTTTATGTGAACAAACACTAAACTAGAAAAGAGATTAGCAAAACTTTATAAGTAATAAATCTTAATATTACTGCAATAGCTACAATTTAGGAGTGATTAACAAGCAGAAAGAATCAGAATGACAAGCAAGAACACTGTCTTACAGTAATTAATTCATCTAGTCACAAAGAGCATTCTATTTAGGCTAAAATTGTCATCGTGTGTTTGAATTGCACTGACCCCACTTTGCCTCTCCTTCATTTGTAAAGCTATTTTCATGAATTTAGAATGACACCATTATGCCCATACTCGCATCAAGCTCTTAGTTCCCAAGATTTGCATCAGAAGTGAGACTTCTTGTTCTACTTTTCCTCAAATTCTAACTGCATCTTCTGTGATCCTGCACTGCTGTTATTTCTCTTTTGCCTTTTTTTACCATGTACTACTGGCACAGATTTTAATTCAACTCATTTGAATTCACCATATCAACATTAAACAATTCTTATGAAAAAAGTCTCACTAGCATAACAGAGAAAGTGAATTTTATTTAAAAAAAAATATTTTTTTTGTACAATGCTTTATCTTCTGCAGACTCAAAATATCCCTGATTATAAAAAAATGAATGTTGAAAATATCTCCAGTGTCATCAACCTGCAATTATTCTGGGGTTATCAGAGGCACACCATATAGTCCTTACAAAGTTATCAAGCTCCAGCCTGAAGCTAATAAAGCATCTCCCTCTTTCAATTGAATGGCTCTATTAGAACTGCTCTTACAATGAATAAGAACCCCCAAATTTCAAGAGTTACTGATTACCAACTTCTATCCATCTGTTCTTGCTTCACAACAGTCCTTTCCCTTAAAAGCTCTGCTTCCCTGAATGTCTTTTTGAATTTACCCACAATAATCCTACCTCCCTCTTAAATTCTGTAGCCAAATGAGAAATGACCCCAAGATTTTAGTTTCTTCTCCCAAGACAGTTCTGAGGTTGCCTAACTGTTAACTATCCTTTGCATTTGCTCCAGTTTGTATCCATCCTTTCCCAATGCAGATGACTAGAAGTTGGAAATACCTTCTCTTCCACTGTTTTCATTGATTAGTTTCAAGCTTATTCTTTGTTTGGTCTCTAAATACATATTCTACTGCTGAATTTCTTTCTTCTCCCCACAACTCCAGACCCCGGAGTCATTCAGCACTTGCTGTAATTGTATGATGCTCCTCCCTCTCAGCATTCCCTCATCAGTAAATTTTACTCCTCCATCTTACTCTGGCATTGATATTAAAACTCATCTTGCTCTTACTCTGGGGAATGCAAAAAGTAATTCCGCTATTAACCTCTAGACTTCCTGTTACCAGACACTTTACCATCAGACACCAGGTCACCTTAACAAAGGAAAAGCAGATTTTCCTAAAGCATCCAGCTGGTTGGGCACACCCTCTTTTTAGTAAGACAGCAAATTATACTGCATTGTGTCTTGCTTTCTATTTATCTTTTTCCCCTTAAACTCTTTTCTGAATCCTGGAGCACTTCTGGGTCAGGCCCTGCTGATGCCATTAACAGTTTCCCTCTGCTGACTTAATTATAGGCATTAAATTTACTTCCCTCTTATCAAATAGTACAATCTTCAATTCAATGCATTTTCATTAAAAATAGTTGCCTTTAGAATTTGGGATTTCTCAAATCCACTGTGTCTCAACCCAACCCAGAGATTATCTGATAACCACAATTTGACTGCATTGAAGTTCTGAGGTTTTTTGTCCAGATTTCCAATTCTGTGCTCTGGGTCCCAGGACATGCCTTGCTGTTGCTCTGCTGGTCCATGGCTTTTTCCTTATTCATTTAGTCTGGAGACCATGCCTGAACTATTGCTAATCTATACTCCAGCTGTATGACAAATCCACTTTTTTCCTAATTCCATTTATATAGCTAAAGAATATTTTAACTTGTGTGTGTGTTAATGCTATTAGTTAACTCATTAATTTTGCCAAACTTGACTTTATCTCTGCAGTCTTCCCTTCCACCCCAGCTTTCTTGGCCAGTCAGTCTCTCTCTCTCTCCCCCCCCCCCCCCCC